TTTTTGAATTATTTTCTAATTTTACTGATATAATCTTGGGATTTTCTTTTTACTACATGTCCCATACCGTTTTAAATATTTCATTTTCACGTACATATTTCAGTTGTCAAACAGAGTAAATGTAAACGTTCAAATGCTTTCATGTATGAATGTACGTCTCGGCATGCGAACCGTTGCTAACGAGAATACAGAGTACTGAGCTTTACGTCGTCGACGATGTAGTCTACATATTCTACGTCGATATCCCTATAATATGTCTTTATAGCGGGGCTTTTACCCGGTCGTGGTGACTTTAAGTGACGAGGAACGTGACTGTTGCGAAACTCTGAATCTGCAAAACTACAAGTGACAATATTTACAGTGAAAATGCGAGTAACGTACAAGAATCTTCGAACTATAAGTGTGAAACTAGAACTATGACGCTGGCGGCAGTCGATACGGGACTAAAATAGAACCCATAAAAGACCGATGAAAGATCGATACTTCAAAATCCGTTGGAAACGTATCCGAAATCGTTATCTACACCGATTTTGACCTCCCGCAACAGCTACGGAAGACAGTGATTCCTCGAAAGTGTTTTGTTAACTAGAATCAACATAAGTTTTCGATCCCTTGACACGATCTGGAGAAAAGTTTTATTTTCTTGTCGGATGGAATTTCGAAAGCCTTGTAAAGAGTAGAAATTGGTTTAAAAATTTCACGCAAGTACGACGTGGTACGTTGTCCAGAAATTACGAAAACCTTTTTACTTTGAAATATAAGATCAATTATCGGCGTGCACGATGTTCCATGCATTACCGCGTACTTTACTCAGTGTTACCAACATACATCGAACAAACGACGGCATTAACACTAGAACTACCAACCTAGTAAAAAAATTGGTCTCAGAATTTCCCTCTTTGCATTTACTGAAAATATATAACTGATTTAAAAGAGATTCATGTCGACTCATATCGAGATAGACCTGTAATTGATATATTTTATCTTAATCGTACCACTAAAATTATTTATATCTGCTATGTGTAGGTATCCATTAAAGATCGGTGGTCTAATGAAAGTGATAAAAACATCTTCGAATATGCGAATACGAGAGTAAAAGAATTTTGTAATTTCGAGAACCGCGAGATGTAACGATTATTCGTAATAAGTCGTTAAAAATTAGTTTTTAGGTTGTATATTTTATTAACATTTAGAATTTGTCTCTATATAGCAGTGATGGCTAAACACATCAGCCCGGCTATCTCAGTTGGTAGAGCATGAGACTCTCAATCGCAGGATCGTGGTTTCGTGCCCCCATGCTCCATGCGGTAATCTTTTTTTATCGTTTTAACGAAATTATTCGAAATATCTTTCACATTATTGTTGAATTAATTTTTCCTTTTTCGCTTCAATTTCAAATCTATCGAAAAAATGTGGAAAAATGTGGAAAAATGAGAAGAGTAATAAAATAGTAATAAAAGAAAATAATAAAGGTAATATAAAAAGAGGATAAAAACGAATGAAATGAGAAATAAAAAAGAAAAAGGTGGGACACGAGGAAAGAACGGAGAAAGAAATATAATCGCCCGAGATAGGGATAAAGAAAGAGTAAAAATCGATTAAGATTTATTCGAATACCGTAAGTCGTAAACAATTGTACGAATTTGCGTAAATAATTCGTCGAACGAAATATCAGTTATTTCGAACGAAATATTACTAGGCGGACGCGGAAATTTTGATGGAAAAGATACAACAAAATAAATTCGCCCCCGGGTGGGCTCGAACCACCAACCTTTCGGTTAACAGCCGAATGCGCTAGCCGATTGCGCCACGGAGGCGACTTGGTATCTCGTTTTTAATACAGATTGTCATCTCGCGTGCCGAATGTAGGAACCGTGTGAACAGAGGAAACAACGCCAATAAGCGAAACTTTCCGGGTAATAATCTACAACGTAACTAAGATACACCGACTAGCGCGGAGGAAAAGAAGAATATACGCATTCGGTGGTATTCGATCGAACGATGCTTTGAAGTGAGAGAATCGACATCGGAAGATCGAATTCTCTTGTATACGTACTCGAGCGAGCACACACGTACGCAGAGTCCGTTCAAGTTCGTAACGGGGTTTCACGGTGAATTACACGAATGCGATGCTCGTTTAAATGAATTTAAGTGGTTAGACGAATGGCGCGTGCCGCTGAAAGGGCACGAGCACGCGTGGCTTGGCCAAAAGCGAGCTACACGGAAGGAAAGTGACACGCGTGACTGCGTGATGAAGAAAAGAACAATCGGTGGTCGGGTGTGTTCCATAGCGGGAACCTTGAAACGAATTCGAGGGTGTTGCTAGAACGATGAAGGGTGTTGACGAAAGATTCGCTGGGAACGCGGCAAACCGTCTCTCGGGCAAAGAACTCGTTATCCTCTCCCCTCACTCTCCTGTTCGTTTCGTCGGCGGGCCCAGCGGAGTCGTCTATAACGATTTAGCGAAACGAGTTAATCGCAAAGCCGAGCTCAAGAAAGGGAGAGCAAATGATCTCGTATCGTTGCGTACTCACGAGTAGCATTTATGCGCGACATTAACGAGTCGTGAAGTTGAAGCATCGATAGACATATCGATAGTCGCATCGATGGACACATCGATAGACGCAGGACTGGTGCGTGTATCCTCTACACCTAACCTATGTACGTATTCGTCACCCGCCTTTCTCCCCTCTACTACGTACTCGCTACTCGCCACTCGCCCCAACCCAACCGGTCTTCGAATGGCAAAAGCAAGAAAAAAGGGAAAAAAGACACGGCAGGACAGAGGAGAGTCAATCGACCGTTAAATGCACCAAACTCTTTTCAACCGGCGGCAGATAACGCACCGGGCAGCAATTACCGCGTCTCGTATTCACCGACGTTTTCGTTACGACGAATCTCTTAATGAGACAGTGTCGTTTCACAGTCACCGTGAACATATTGCTTCACTCGTTTACGCTCCTGTTGCTCCTCGATTGTCGACGATAGGAACGAACTGGAGTATACGAGTATACTCGGCGGGGACAGCACGCGAATAATTTTATTTTCGCACGATCGCTCGCGAATCTTGAATGGGTGTGTCCGAAGACGCCTCTCTTACCAGGCCCGCACGTTTTCACTTTTTATACTTTTCCCTAAACTTCTTTCCTTTTCTCCTTGTCGCTTCTCCTTTTGTCTCTCATTTTCCGTCGAAACGCAAAAATTTCGTTTGAGTCGCGAAATGTGTCGAATTACCGCGGAGCGATTGGTCGAACAAAATTCCGAATCACGTTCAATCATCGCGTTACATTGCTCCTCGTCCCTCCCCGTCCTCCCCGCCCTTCCATCATTCGTTAACGAGCGAAGCAAGCGAGAGAAGTTGGTTACGAGCGAGTAACACGCGTCAATATCGACGCGTCGAATTGAATCGATAGGATAGAGAGGATCCTAACACGGGGCGAGATCGATATTTATCTTGGCAAAAATCCAGACTCGGAACGGTGCCAACGTGGATACGGATAATATCGCGTTCTCGCGGTGAGATACCTACGTAATTATCGTCTAGGCGACTCGCGTTTGTGCCCCCAATTTTTCGTCCCTTTCATCACCGTCCCGAGAGAGCAAGCGAGAGAAAGAGAGAGAGAGAGAGAGAGAGATGGGGGGGGGGGAAAGGGAGAAAGAGAGAGAGCGAGATTAAAAAGGGAGATTCGTGAGTGAACGAGCAAGGGTGAAAAAGAAAAAAAAAAAAAGTGCAGAACAGAGGAAAATGGACGCGAGGCGACATTCCAACATTCGGCTTCGAAGGCAGACATTCGAATTTAGTCGAATGGGAAAGTCGAGCGTGTAAACGCGAGAAAGCTAGCAATGAGTATTCCGGCAAGAGAGCGATCGATGATAATCATTCTTTTTGTTCCCGATACGATCCCAAAAGGTATTCATTCGGATGCATAAAAGCCGAAGGTTTCGATACTCTAGAACGGGCTTCGTTCGTCGCTTCGACGAAAACCAAATGCCGCGAACGAAGAGAGAGGTAAACGATTATCGATGTTCCGAGCTTCGCCACGATTCCAACAGTCGAATCGAACGATTTCTGCTCACTAAGCTCGTGAAAACGACATAACGTAATGACATTACGTATATACGTAAACGTCCAGCATCGTCGGCGACCTTGCGAAAGTATGGCGAGTTAAGTCGAGAAAGATCGTGTCTCCACTCCTACAGCAAAGACGAAGAGAACGAAGAGAACGGGAATTCTCCAAAGTCCCCTCGATTGGATCTGGCTACCCTACGTTGTCGAAGGGTGTTCCGTTTAGCCAGTTTCCCAGGGGCGTATCAAAGACGCGAGAGGCCATCCATGGCGTTTATGGTCGTACTTTCCTCGTTATTACTCTCGCCACGAGACGACTTATATGCCGTTCGTCGATTACGAGAACATCGTGTGCTTTGCACCGCTAAACGTTCTTGGATGTTTCGGTCGAAAAAATATGGGGGACGATAAAAGGCGAGAACATCGGACATCGAACTCGATCTGTTCGAAACTCGATCGAACGAATACGTCACAGTCGAGCATATATACGGGCGACTACACCGCCGCCACTCGACGGCGAAGCAAACGGCAAGGATCGGTGCGGACGCGAACGCGAGCAGCGAAATCGCAGTACGCGATTCAAATATACGGTACTACTCTCTCGACGATAGATATGTTCTCTCGTTCGTGTCTGTCGATATTCCGAGAGCGAGGCGGTGGGATGGCAGGTATCGACGAGAAAGAGCTCTCGCGGAAAAGCGTGCAATGGTAGGTAGAAGGGTGTAGAGAGGGAGTGCACCCCGTTGGAGTACGGCCCTGCAACGTGCCCGCCCAATAAGGGTGCGTAGTCGGCGGCGCTCAGTCTCGTCGGAACGGTCAGCGAGGTAAGAGGTTTTACTCTCGCGGTGTTTGAGTGTCGCGTGCCGGCCGCACTGCGGTCGTGCTACTCTCTTCTTCAACGGTCCATACACGCTTGCAGATCGACCGAACATACGCGCGTTCTTTCGCGCTTGTAATTTCTCGTTACTTTCACCGGGATCCAGCTCAAGATCCCATTATTTCACATTTCGAGCGCGAGACGAGATCGTAACCGATGGAGGATGACGTTCGATGGAACGCAAGGTAAAGTACCAATTCCGTGCATCTTTCGTATCGTTTTTCTTCATTTTGTTTCATTTCGTTTCGTTTCGTTTCGTAGCAGGTTAAGTCCTGTTATCAACGAACAACCACCACGATCCTCTTCGAATTTTTCTTTTAGTATCCGTTCGACGAATGATAGTGTCTCTGACTGTCTTGTAAGCTTTTCCCTAATCGTCCCTAATCCGAGAAACAAATCGCGACTCAAACATCGAGAGACGACGACACAACGATGGTTGTGTCTCGACGACAACGACGACAACGAGAACGTTAGGTATGACAAGCACTGTCATCTTGAAACGCGGCGTACGACACTCGATGCGGAGAACGTTCGGATGGACCGTACCGTACGCGGCGATTCGTTTCGATACGATGCGTCCGTTCCCTTCTCTGGAAAAAAAGTCCCAAAAAAGCTAAACGTCGTTTCGAAGGGATAACGAGAGCGCTGAACTACGAATCCTGATTCATCCATGGAATATAACCTTGTTTCAACGTTCTTGCAAAATTCGGTACGTCGCGCGAACGAGCGGTTATCGTTACATAACCTATACGTATTCGAACGTGGACCAATTTCGCGTGGTAAGACTCCGAGAGCGGTATCGAAGATGCAAAAGGAGAATCGTGGTCGGAGAAAAGACGCATATACGGTAGAGTATTCGCATGCAACACAGGCTTACCGCGAGTCTGGAGAGTTGCTCGAATCGCTATCGAACAAAAGTTGGAAAGGTGATTCGGTTGTTGGAATGGCGCGCGCGAGTCTCGAAGGAATTTCGAAGAACGAAACGAAAATAGATCTCGTCGCGTTCGTTTCACGGAACGAACGACCAACGGATCCCGGACTCTTCGAGAGCGATCGCTCGTTTCGTGTGGCGATACATAACCGTTTTGGTTCCCCTTCGTCGAATAGCTTGCTGGAACGTTTCGCGAGATATCGCGCCGTTTGCGTTCCCTACGGATAAGAGCCGAGTTTCCGCGAAACGCGTCACGGTTTAGCGGGAAGAAAAAATAAAGCGTAGGGCGTTATCGTAAAGAGTAAGACGATTCGAAGGACAAGGAACGTTACCGAGAATCGCGTTCGCGAGCAGAATTTCTCCTCCGAGAATAGCGCGTGGTCACGATACTCGATCGACGCGTCGTATCTTGCGATACGGCACGACTCTCGGTGGGCGGAAACGCGACGCGACGCGCGATATCGTTTGTGCGCGGGAATATCCCGTGCAAGGGTGGCGTTCCTCGAAAGGGAAAAAAGTAAAAGGTAAATGAACGGTCGAACGTGACACGAGGCTACTCGGAATATCTACGTAACCATTATTCCGAAGATTCGCACCGACGATCGAGCCGAAAATCGAGCGTCGTAACGGAGCGTTCACGTTGAGACTCATCGCGCGACCAATAGTCACGGACGAATGGATGGATGGATTATTTTTGGTTACGAGGATGCGCGTGAGGGGTAGTTGGCTGAAATTAGCCGTTCCGAGAGGGTGCGCCGTCGGTTGAAGCCAAGGGGACGTCTTTCGCACTTTCCCTCGACTCGAATGTCGATTAACGTTTCATTTAAATTCAGCTGCGAGTCGCGGAAAATTTATTTAGGGAGTAGAACGCGTATTGCCTCTTTCGATCGATTTTGGAACTCATCGTTGATTCCAGTTCGAACACTCGTAACAATCGAAAAACATCGGGCAAGAAACGGACGAATAAGTATCGTCCGTCGGGAAAAATGGTTCTCGCGCATCGGGTAGATGGCCTCGGGATCAGTCTCGTTATCTCCTCATTCGGCAGCTGACCAAACTAGCCAGTTTTTCCCTCCGCGACGATACCTATATCGATCTCATCGCGTACTCGATATACATACATACGTATATATACATGCTCTGGCGAGTGTCCATCATTGGAGAACAGAAACGTTTGGGCAAGCGATGTTCGCGCGAAGACTTTCGACTTATCGTAGAAGCTATTATCAAGGTCGCTGCACTCGTGGCCGCGTTATCGGTGGAATTACATAATTTTGGCTACCGGCCATGCTGTCCCGTCCGAGTAACACGCGTGCTGATGGCGGTGCCTGGCGGTGGTGGTGGTGGTTGGGAACATTTACTCGCTCACCGCGTTACCGTTACTACCCAAGAGAGATTACACGACTCGTCGACGACGAACGAGATACCCAGGCTCCCGTCGTCGTCGACCACGCGGTCGATCGCGACGAATACTTACCGATCGAGGCTAGAACCAATAGGTAGAACGATTTCTCTCGTTTCGAGTTTACACGCTCGAGGGGGAAAACGTACGAGGTATACTTCTGCCGTGTGATCTCTCGAAAATCGATCGATCGGTCGAAATCGATCCGACTACCCCGTAGATCCGGGGGTTGCTTGGAGCAGGAGCTCGAAGAGTTGCCATGACGACCAACGTTACCCCGCCACCGACGAGCGAGCCAGCCAGCGGTGCTCGATCGAACCCTTTCCGAACAACCGTCTTCCACTAGCCGCTAGCCACTAGCCACTAGCTATTCGCCTCCTTTTTTTCTATTCTTTCTCTACCTTTTTTCCTTCCTTCCCTACTTTTTTTCTTCAACCACATCTTCTAGCAACCGTGTTCTTCGTTTCCGATCCGATCTCTCCGAAACTCGCGATCGGCGATTCCATTGGTCCTCGCGAGAAATACGATCGATCGTTTTTATCTCGATGATACGTCTTTGAGCCTGCATGATAGGTCCGCCGCGCAACGTCTTTATAGAAATTAATCGCATTCGTTCGTTAACCGTCCGTCGATCGCACTTTGACCTCCCCGCGCGGTTCGCGCGTCTCGAGCGGTTCGACGCGCGATGAAGAGGGTTAAAGACCGAACAGGCGCACGCGCGTCTTTTTTCTTTCCGAGTCGACAAACCGCGGGAACGATAACGTCGCATCGATTCAATCGGCTTCGTTGTTCTCGCAATAATATCTCGTTCGACGTTGCGAGAATCCACCGTCGCGTGTCTTCTCCTCCGTTCCGTTCGACTCTCGGGCCAGTGCCAGCGATCGGGTCTCCGCTTCTCTTTGTCTTTGGTATTTTCCATGCAGTCGAACGTAGAAATGGAAAACGCGTAACGCGCAACCCGATCGCCGCCACTCTCTATTTTCCACGACGACTAGACGATAAAGGAACCACGCGCTATAGCGATCCGACCATTGTCTTCCACGATTGTTTTCTCGTTACACTACGTTCGACGTTCCTCTTTTGCTCGCGGTCGTGGACAATGGAACTCGACTCCACGCGACCACGCTCGTCTTTTCCACCAACCTCTCCGCCTTCGGAAACGCTTGATCGCCTCGTTCACCCCGGATTCGCTACCGTTCTCCCAACTTTCCCATTCCTTTTTCCAATTCCCCCTTCCCTTTCTCCTCTTCCCTTCCTGGCCCAGCGATCCGAGTGGAAGCCGTACCGCGTTTTTCATCTTTGCCCTTCCTTCCCGCTTTTTCCTCTCTCCGATATAAATCTAACGGAACGTCGTGTACACCCTGTCCACGACCGAGATGTATCCTGCTTCATAGCTTTCGTCGAAACAGCAGGTCTCAGCAGCCTCTTTTTCCTTATTCTCTTTCGTTTTCGGTCGCATTTTCGAATCGGCGTGCAACATTCTTGTGAGAATTGCGCTATTCGAGAGACATGCGGAAACGTAGGTGGAGTACGCGCGGTATACCCGGAAATAGAGGTAGCAACTCGACAGCGTTCCTGCGTTAGGACTGATTCGATCTTCCTCCTCTTTTCTTTTCAAAACTCGCGCTTTCTCTCGAGAGTTTCGGGGAAGGAAGAGGCCATGCAGCGAGCGAACGAAGCGCGAATACTAGGAAATCGTCTCCACGCGACAATCCTTCTTCTCTTTTGTTTCAGATCCGTTGTCTCGCATCGTCGAGGAATGGCGCGAGGAGGACGAGCAGCGCGTCGGTTTTCCACGCTAATCGGTCGAAGGGCGGCGACCTAGAAATCGTTATAGATAGAACGCTTTAGAGCTTTAAGAGAAACTTTGATCGGCTCTTTCGAACGAGTACCGACCGTTTCAAGGAACCCCCGATCTCGCTCGCGATTTCGGTCGCGAAATGGACCCGCTTTCGTCAACCTCCTCGTCAACCTCCTCGTCAAAATCCTCGTCAGCGTCCTTGTCATCGTCATCGTGGTTAACGTGGTCGCCGTTACCCTCATCGACCACACTGCCGCCGTGATTCGAACTTGACCAAGAGATATCAAGTCTTCGGACGGAAGGACGACCAATTTTTCAACGAAGCGCCGCACCGCTGGCCGATTATCGTTGCGCATCATGTTCGGAACGAAATTGCGTACGTGGATGGAAGCACATATCGTGCGATCGAAGAAGAAAAAGGATCGAAAGAAAGGAGAGAAGGGGTTTGACTCTAATTGCAATTCCCCCCGAAATCACGGCTCGCATAGGTCTCCCGCCTTGCATCAAGTGAGTATTATGCATATATACGTATTCGAAAACAATGTCGATCTTCCATAGTGGACTTTTTCTTGCGATTATCTTACACGCCGCTTTTTCCTCTTCTTCTTCTTCTTCTTCTTCTTCTTCTTCTTCTTCTTTTCGAAAAAGAGGAACGATGCGAGTGCCAGACGATGGCGATGCAAACGAGCGAAGAGAAGAGAAAGGCAAGAATGAGACGACTCTGAAGGATTAGCTTCTTCGCGTTTCACCCCCCTGTTTCCCCTCGCTCGCCCTTCGCTTTGACTGGCTCGTTCTTCTCTAGCAGACCGTAGCTATCCAATTAGACCATACCCGCCGACTTTATTCTCTCTCTTACTCCCGCTTTTATCTCCTACTTTTTCCCTAAACTCGCGGTTTCTCTATCCTTACCTTCCTCTTCCCGCTCTCTCTTCTTCGCTGCTTATCGAAGGAGCGAGGCGAGAGCAATTGGGTACTCGATATTCGCAGGTGCACCCGGTAGACTCGCCGTCGAAAAACGTGGACGGAATTGGGTTGCACGGCGAGGAGGAGGGTACACGATGCGGTACCGTAACCGCGTCCTCGGGTACGTGCGCGGGCACCGGTAGCGTGAATCTCTCCTCTCCGGAAAGCGCTTATAGCACCGGATACTCGACGGACGGCACCTCGCCTGGAACCAGCTATCCACCGGAATATTACATCAACATCAGGACAGGTACTCATTATTTCCAAAGCAACGCCAACTCTGGCACAGGCGCAACCGCTGGCAGCAACTGTAGTAACAACGGTAACAACAACGGCAATAGCTGCAGCTGCAGCAGCAGCAGTAACAACAACAATAACGACAATAACGATCACAATCGCAACGATAACGCGAGGTCGAAGAAACCGATCGTCTCGTCGGATCTGCCGGTTGCCGCTTTACTCTCCGCGCGTAGACATGGAAGGTTCGAGGGCAAGGCGGAAACTTCCGCTTCCACCTCTGCTACGGTGTTCTCTTCGAGGAACATGACCATGGGCCACGAGCTATCGCCGAGAGACGTTCGAACCAACAACGCTCCGAGCAAGGTACGCTTCGAGATCGTAATTCGACTCGCGACCCGACTGAACCGCCAAACCACGAGACCGTGACACGTTTCGTTTTCTTCGTACAGATCATAGAGGATCATCGTTCGACGGACGAGGACAGGTCTGGCCAACGAAGAGCAGTGCCACAAGATAGGTATTATCGACGAACCGAGTCGTTCTCCGCCGAATCCTCGCGAAGCAACTTGATCGTGCCACCTTCTTCCATACCACCGCCCTTACTCTCGCCGACCATCCAGTCGCCCAGGGAACGTTCGCGGATTCGTACGAATCCGTGGTTGTCGGCCAACTCTTCCGGCTCAAGCACAACCGGTTTCAAATCGAGATTGAACCTCGATGACACCAGCAGCGGCTCGGGCCTGAAACTCACGGAATCATCCGGAAGCGCGAGCGACATAAACGCGAGCAGCGGCGTGCGAGTGGGACGTGCCAGAAGGGAGTTAAAGCAGGAGAGTCTTAGCGCCGGGAGGAGTCCGTTAGTATCACAGTCTTCTTCTGCTTCTCCACTAGTTTCTCCACTAGTTACTCGACTAGTTACTCGACTAGTTACTCGACTAGTTACTCGACTAGTTAGCTCTCGACCTTTATCGAAAGCCACAAGCTTCTCCGTCTCGCTCGTCTCGCGAAAAATCTACTCGTGTCTGTTTGCCGTAGGATAAATCAAAATTGGAGAATAGCATCCGGTATGGAGATTCGACCAAAGATAGCGTTGTCCGTGCAACGACGTAGCAGCAACAGCAGTAGCAGCAGCGGCAACAGTGGTACCAGCGGTGGTAGCGGTAGTAGCCGCGACAGTAGCAACGTTAGCAACGGTAGAAACGATAGCGGAAGTAGCACCAACGATAGCGAGGATGAGAACAGAAACGGGAATAATGGAAACGAGAACGTGAACGGAAACGATTCGTCCGCGTCGTCCATCACGCGAAGCGTCAGATCGTCCGAGGATGATATCACGTTGAACGAGATGATGGGCAAATTCGACGAAAGTTACGTTTACGAGAAGGAGACGGACATTTTGTCCGACAGCGATCCGACCGATTGCGAGGATTACATCGAATCTCTGTCGGATCTGGATGCCGCCCGAGATGCCGGCGATGAGAATGATCCGTTCGACAACGACGATTTCGATTACATCGACAATGGTTCGTTTCTCGATCTCGGCAACCTCGATTGTACCGGACGCTTCGCCAATACCGGTCACTGTACCTATTTCGCCTTCACCGGCGAGCTCGCGCGACGGAGCAGCAAATTACGAGAGTCGTTGATGAAGCGCAGAAACAAAGAGGACACCGCGATGCTTCAAAGGTAAGGCACACGCCACTTCTCTTGTCTCTGTGTCCGTTTTCGGATACAAACACCCATACCGATGCGTTACGCGTCCTTTCTGTTCGCAGAACGATCAGCGCGAAGAACACCGTGAAAAATACCGCGAAGAAGCAGATCGTGCGGCACAAGAAACAACCGGATGAGAAGCAGCCGAACGATAAGCGAAAAAAGAGATCCTCGCAACGTCGGAAATTGAATTTTGACAAGCGTGATTCGGACTTGGTTCCACTCGGTGTCGTCAGCCATAACAACGGCGACAACGGCGACGATGACGACGAAACGGCGAATCTAAATCGCGTCCTGGTGGAAAGAATGTTGCTTAAGAACTCGGGTTTCAATCAGGGTAGTAGAAGCGTCGGCGGTACTCCGATCTGTTTGCGTCGCAAGAAACACGACGTGAATAAAAATTTGTCGCCATTACGATTAAATGACAAACGATCGCCGACAGTCCGTGTCGCTACCGGAGCTCCTGATGTCGTTAAGAGACGATCGAACTCGGTATGTGCGATATTCTTTACTGCTTCTCTATATTGCTCTATACTTAACCATCTATTCGTTTCCTTTTTTTCCTGTTTTTTTGAATGTACAGGTAAGCTACGTGAATGGAAATCTCGTGAGACAACGGATAACCTCCACCGACAAAACCTACATGACCACGTTCGCCTCCGAGATAGCTTTGATGGAGGCGGACAAGGAAGCGGACAAAAAATATCGGGAGCTGATTCTCGAAGCGGAAAATATTCTGGTGAATATGCAAAAGAATCAAAACAACTTGCCTATCGTACCGTCACCCTCTCGAAAGCTTCACAACGGATTGGCGAACAAACGCGTCGAACTAATCAAAAATACAGAGTTGAACATCGAGCTTGCTCTTTCCAAAAGCAGAAATTCTCAACCGGAGTTGCAAAGTGGCAGCATCAAAGATCTCGAGCATACCAGTCCCAAGAGACAGCAATTCGTTCAGTCTTGTTCCCCGATGCGTCGATTCATCGAACGAAACGCTTCCTCGCCAATCGGTGCAACGACGGCGGCAACGGCAACGACAACGATGACAGCGGCGGCGGCGACGATGACGACGACGACGACGACGACGACAACGACGACGTCGTCGTTCCAATCGAGTTCGATCAAATACCCCGTTGACTCTCCTCTCGTATCGCGAAGGACGCCGAACCAACCTGATAGAAGTTCGCCTGATAGAAGTCTGCTTAGTTGCTCTCGGTCGAGAATTTACGAGAATCAGATTCCCGATGATTACGACGGACGGAGAACAACCGCGATAGCAACACCAGTGACGACGACAACGACCACGGCAATGGCGACAACGGTAGCAACAGCATCACTAGGAATGTTCAACTGCAACGGCGGTATCCTCGATTCGAACGTGGATCGATACGTTGCGAAGTCCCAAACTTCCTACGTCGCAACGAACAGACCTTGTGCCACTTCACCGTTCGGAGATTCTCTTTCCGGTATAAATCGGAAGGAGTTTCATGCTTCGAGATCATGCAACGTCGTAGGTAAGGAGGAAGGAGTGACGTCGAGTTCGTCGGATTCGGAGGAAAAATGTGACATTAGAAGACGACCGCCGCTAATGACTTTTAGGTTGGCATGTCTATCATTGGTACTCGCTCTTATTCCAGAACCTGATGGTATCTCTTTTTCGTCTTCACAGGTCAGTCGATATGGGTCCTATCAAAGAAGGATCTTCCTATTGTCCGCAAAGCGAACCGGTGAAAAGAAAAGTATATGCAGGAAGTGCGACCTATGGTAGGATACAGAAAACTTTAGGAGAACACGTTACTTTGAGAAATTCGGACGGAGATACCGCCACCGATGATACCGGTAAGCAGTTTAGCATAAGCACCGTAATGCGTATTTCATAGGATCCAACGACGCAACTTTAATCTTCTTTACACCGTTCACAGACGACTCGAGGAGATCTCTGAAAGAAAAAGTGGCAAGGCTTCGACAAGAACGGCTAGCCGCGAACATGAGTGTAAATACTCAAGACTCGCAGATGTTTCAACACCAACTCTCCCAATTGCGTAGGCAAATGCTAATGCAAACTATCGAGGGTTTGAAGCGAAGTCTCGAGGATCAATCCGCGACTTTGAAGCAGACGTGCTTGGAACCGGTAATGACCGATCGATTGCCCTGAACCGAGCGCGCGGAACCAAAAAGAATCGACTCCCTTCTCGCGTGGAATTGGCTGACGATCGGTAAAAACCTAGTCGTCATTGAGACACGACGATGATTCACGTATCGAAAATTATCTACGAAGCGATTAACTTCGCAACGAGAAATTCCGCGTGGTACGCTTATGCTCTCCTTTTTCGAGCAACATTCTACCGAATTAATAATGCGTGATGTTCCCGAAATATCTGTCGAGTCTCCGAAGAAGCACCGATGATCGACGCAGTCTAGCCGAATTTCTATCTACCTAATCGTTTAGAAGGGAATCGATATATTTTTCTGCCTGTTTACACACAAACACACACGGTAAGAGAGTCAAAATTAAGAATATTAAATATTTTCTGGGCATTGTTCTCGCATTGTTTGCTCGACACCATGTGAAACGATTACACAGCTACTGTACGTGATTGGTTCGAGTTATGAACGAGAATGAACGAGAATGAACGAGGCAAGTGAAAAAAGAAAGAGATACCTTTCCTTTCTTTCGATTTAATCTTGCCATGGTATATCTTTACCCTACGCTCCTTGCTTACCATCTACCACCAATCGTTTTCCCATCTCTCCATACTTTTTCATTTTTTCCCTTCTTCTTTACACTCATCGATGAACTAGTTGCCGTATTTTCACGTGCCTACTCGTATAATTCACGTGAGAAAGAAAAGCGAAAGAAAGGAAGGGAAAGGGAGAAAGAGTGATATGTGTCGATATATCTCGTACAGTAAGTTTTCCGTACATGTACGTATATTAACTCCTAATGTTCCTATTTCTAATTCGTATTTGCTACTTCCGGAAAAAGAAAGAAAACGATTAAGGTGACAACGGATTAGGAGCAAAATTGACGTCGATTCTGTCGGTGGAACAAACATTTCCCGTTAGTATACCAAAGATAATAGCCTAGCACGGTAGTATAGAACCGTTTAGTTCATAATAGCATCATATGCTATATAGACGTTCGTAATATTAGAAAGCTATTATTAGGATGTTTTTCCTCTGAGTTTCGTAGAGAAATAGAAACGACACCGCATTGCGTGGAGAAATCGTCGAAGAATCTTTCAGTGATCGCCAGAATCGAATTCTTATCGTCGACGATTAGCTTTTACATTCGATTCGTTGCACGAAATGAAATTCGCTTTCGTTCGGCGCTAATAATTTGACTCTAACGGTCCGGTAGACGAACTACTTTCAGTCACGAGGTGATATTTTTGTGAGAATAGACTGATAGCGTTATCGATATATTATATCGTTAGACTTAAGCGTTCGATGACGATTATTTTTTTGTGATCTATATGTTTCGAGTTCTCTTGCCAAGAGGCGACGATTCATACTACGCACACGATATTTATGTTTGTGTTAGATGTGCTAGATAACATAGTAAAAGAAATGTTAGAAAACAATAGTGGTAGCAAATACTAGTACGTTAGCTAGTTAGCCAGTTATCGACTATACTATGTCGTAATATCGTTTCTTTCGATTCTCTTTTGTGATTTATATCCCCGTTTCGTTGGGAACTGTGATTGCAACTTTTTTAGCCAGTTTTAGATTATTGCCGTAACGCGTGAAATGTCTACCAGTTTCACGGCGAATCACGATCGGCTCAGGTCAATTCATTCGGAACTTTTATACTCGATGCGTGTATATATATACATGTATATGTATATATATATACTGTGCGTATATATATGTATAAATATGTATACATATGCATATATGTATATGTGTGTGTATATATATATATATGTTTTTGTGTATGTATATATATATGTACGTATATATGTTTAATTTTTCATTCAAGATTGAATTTTTTTTTTTATTACATAAGTAATAGATTATTGTTATTATTATCATCATTATCATCAATGCCATCATTGTTATTGTCATTGTCATCATCATTATCATCATCATCGTCATCGTCAGTCATCATTACCACCATCGCTATTATTATTGATATTCTTATTTTTATTGTTATATTATTATTATCATTATTATTATTACTAATATTATTATTATCATCACCATCATCATCGTCATTATTATTACTATTACTACTACTACTGCTCTATTTCTAGTTCTAATACTCTTACTAACATTATAATCATTATTTTCATCGATTTTGAGTTTTATTTTATTTATCAAATTAAATAGACCGAAACATTCCGAAGATACGCAGTAAAGGATGAATTAAAATCGCGCAAATGACGTGTCTTATACAGTCTTCGATGACTTGTTGATTGGTTAACGAATCAAATTTTCAACCTTCTCCCCTGCTAATGCGTAATGCTAGTCATCCGGTTCCTTGTGCAGGGTATAATCGGCAACTTTCAATCTACTTGGAAGAAATATGAAATTATTGTTGCAAATTTCTTCTGTACTAAACCATTTGCGAGATTAAATGGTCTTTTTTTATATGATTATGAATAAATTATATTACGTCGTTGGAAATGTGCATTTATTTATCTCGGTGCTTTCCTAAATGATTTTACGATGTCGATAACTCTAATAGTTACCTTTCTTCCTTTTTTCGCCGAGCCTGGTAGTAATAATTAGTAAACGTTCATAATATTTGCATCCTAGTTATTCTCTTACAGTGGATATGTACATATGTATACATAAACATACAAAGTAAGTTATATACTACATTCTTGTTATAGTCAAATGGATGGAAATTTATTTGAAAATCCAGCACATTGCTTTTCAGTTATATTTTTTTCCATCATATTTTACATGTATAGTAGAGAATTACAAACTTCAAATCCCTACAGGCATCGTTAAATATTCGCTCGTGTACACTACACAATATTTGCGCAGATTGCATATGTACATGAAACTAGTTGCTTAAGGCAATATCACTTTGAAACAAAATATCAGCTTTGCAGTGAAAACATAAGAAAACATGAATGAAATATACATGCAAACGTAAAGAAAATGCTTTAACCCTTATGTTTGAAAGTCTATCCTACTATGCGGATAAATTGTTGTAAAAAAAACTTAACACGTACGATGGATACCCGTGTAAGATGTCGTATCAAACAACTATCTATTTCATTTTTTCAAATCTGTGCTCGATTTCGTAAATTCCAACAGGTTCTTTAATCTTATCACAATAATCAGCCCATTCTCCTTCGGTTAGATCAACGTCTGTAAATTCTTTTCCATCATTAACGGTTTTAGCAATCCATCCTTCTCTTGCAGAGAATTCGTTAGGTTCGAGACCACGACAATCGAATATCGCTATTGTCTGAAACTTGCCTTGATCATTTGCAAGAAATGATTTGATGGAATCTTTCAAGATGGTCAAAGCATTTTCACGAGAACAAAATTTGCATTTGCTTGCAAAGTGATTTACTGCGTTTCGTTTTTTAACTGGGATGGACTCGTTCAAGGTCACATAGCTCCATTTGTCCGATTTTTCGCCACAATTGCCACACGTAAACTTAAGATACCATTTGAATTCTGATCCTGATGGTTTCAATTCTTCGATATTTTCCAACGTAGCTTTCATTTGCAATGCTATTTTCACCATCCTGATGAAACTTTCTCTTTCCTCCTTTTTTATGCAACAGTTTTCTGTACTCGATAGTATTTTGCGTATTATACCTATGAATTGGAACAATTACAGTCTGTTGAGGTTATGTTATGAACGAATGATTCGTAAATTCACGAACGCTATTTTTTCCCTCTAAAAGTAACTGCACAAGTAACAGCACGTGGACACTTTTATACACATACGTATTATTTTTACGTATTGTATTATAATAAATCGTAATAAAACGCTCTTAAAATATATTGTGAATAGTGATAATCAGTCAAACAGTGCAATTTGAATCGCGTATGTACTCATAGGTACAATACAATGTTGGTAACGTAGAAAATGATTTGGTAATATATTATCCATCCAAGTTTTCCATCTATAATCGAAATATATTTATCGAATTTACAAATTGGCACTTTTATAGTGTGTGCATCATAAAATCGTTTTAGTGAACACGTTGTTCATAGGCAATGCGTCTATGAGTATCAAACGAGAGAAACAAGCATGAGACGAACAGTTTTTCTTTCTACATTTTGTTTTTATATTTTAGCAACATATTCTAATGCCGAAGATATTTTAGGTTGTGGTGGATTTTTGAAAAGTTATGCCGATATCGATTTTGCCAAAGTACAAATAACGTTGTGAGTAATTTATAAACGGGTTCGCGTCATATCACAGACACGTAGAATAAATTCATGAATAATAACTTAAACTTTTCATCTATTTAGGTATACGAAAGGTGGAAGCCTCAAAGATTTTACAGAATGTGCTCCCAACAATGGATATTATTTTCTTCCCTTATATGATAAAGGGGAATACGTTTTGAAGGTAACGCAGAATGATACAGCATATAACAATTTAATCTCTATTTGCTGTTCCATTAATTTTGTTTAATAGAACAAAGAATTCCAACTAAGGATAATAAAGATGAAATATCAATGTTATATGTAATATTGAATGTTGATATTGTCTTTAACCATATTCAGGTAGATCCACCCAGAGGATGGAGCTTTGAACCTACAGAAGTCTTATTGAATGTAGATGGAAGAACAGATGCCTGTAGTCAAGGCAAAGATATTAATTTTACCTTCAAAGGCTTTGGTATCACAGGCAGGGTAAATTATCAATTTAAAATACATCAGATACAACATCTAAAACGCACAAAGTGAATCAAGTGTATACATTGTTATGAAATATAATATGATTTAGGTTATCAGTTTAGGATCTGATTCTGGACCAAAAGGTGTCACAGTATCATTGTATATGGAAAATAATGAGCAAGTTTCTGTTGATACGACAATTACCATGGAAGGTGGTATATTTTATTTCACCCCGATACAACCTGGTCAATATATACTCATTGCATCCCATCCCACGTGAGCATCATCTATCGGGATTGATATTTAATTATGTTACAAGATGAGTCATGCTATATTACTCTATCTTATAGGTGGATATTGAAGACGGATACAGTAAAAGTAACAGTACGGGAAGGCAACACAGAAGTCCCAGATGGTAGTTTAGTAATTTATGGATATGATGTGAGTGGACGAGTCACCAGCGAAGAAGAAGCAGTTAGCGGTGTAACATTTGTATTATTTGGAGTAAGACTGTTTTTTCGTCCCCCTTTACTTTGTTTTTAATCTGTTTCTTCAATTCTCATGTATAATTAATCAAATTCGATATGTTTATTGTTGCCCTGTAGAATGGTACAGCTAGAAATTGTGCAACGACACCTATAAGTAAAGATCTCGAATATAAAAAGCCACTTTGCCATGTTGTGTCTGACAAAGGTGGTAAATTCGTGTTTCCAAGTTTATCACCCGGCGAATATAAACTCGTTCCGTATTATGCCGGTGCTCAAACTAAATTTGATGTGCAACCACCCGAATTGTTATTCAAAGTGAGCCACAGTAGCGTTGTATTACATCAAGGATTTAAAGTAACTGGTTTTACGGTAAATGGAATTGTCCTCACCGCCAACAACGGAAATCCTTTGCCAGGAGCAAAAGTTTTACTTTCTCAAAAACAAGTTGCTATCACGGATGAAAATGGAAAATATGTATTTGACAATATGAAAGCTGGTCAATATACTCTCAAAGCTGAAAGTGGTATGCTTAGTTTGTGTACTATCTTCTTTACAAGCTAAATTCGAATTAAAATTGTTCACTATGGATTTAATTCTTTTTGTAACATGCAGAAGACTTATTGTTCAATTACAAATCAGTCAAGATTTCTCCCAGCTCCCCGGAACTTCCTGTTTTAATACCAACAGCATATAAAGTTTGCGGGAAAGTTACTCTATCGGCAAAAGGAACTTTAAATTATCGAAAGGTTTTCATTCAAAATACAGCAGCTACGTTTACCAAAGAAATTGAAACAGATGCAAAGACAGGTGAATTTTGCGTCTACCTTAGCCCTGACACGTATCAATTAAGCGTTATTGTGACAGCGGAGGAAAGAGCTAAAGGATTACAGTAAGTTCATTACCGAACGCTTCTCATGCCCAACCAGGCTCCTTGGTTTTTGATATTGATATGTTTTCAGATTTTATCCGTTGCAACAGACGATTGATGTGTCGTCTCACCCGGTGCGCAACGTTAACTTTTTACAATTAAAAGCTACGTTAACGGGAACGGTAAAATGTTTACCAGAAACCGATTGCAGTCAAGCTTCCGTAACTTTAAAGGTTCTTGACGGCATTACAATAAAAACTATACAGACGAAAGGTGAGATTTCACTTTGCCGTATACGTTATTTCATGTCTAATACATCGTTTCTTTTTCTTGGAAAAATCTGCGACAATGAGCACGCGTTAAAAAAAAAAAAAGACTTTATTTTATATCTAAATGAACATTATGGTATAAGCAAGTAATTACCACGCGTTCTAATTGTCGCAGTTATAACGTGTACTTAATACACTCGATACTACCATTTTTCTTGTAAAGTTATTTTTGATTATGCAGCTGGCCAATATCAATTCACGGATGTGTTACCTGGACATTACGAGGTACTAATAGACAATGACATTTTTTGTTGGGCGAATCCCAGTTATAGAATTTCTGTGACTTCAGAACGATCTGTATTACCGCCCTTTGAACAAACCGGGTTTTCCGTTACTTTTATATCATCTCACGATACTATGGTCGAATATTCGAAGTCAGACGAATCAAATAAATTAATGTTAGTCTTGAATAAAGGGAGCACGAAACATTGCGTTTCCGAACCTGGAATCTATACATTTATACCGAAAAGTTGTCACATTTACGAAAAATCGTTTTATACATGGGATACCAATACTGTTGCTCCTGTTTTATTACATTCGACGGAGCACAGTCACATGGGAAGCATTATAAGTAATACCCCGTTAGATGGAGCTAAAATAAAGATTGAGGATGCAGATGGTATGGTTAAAATGTAAGGAAATATATATATTTATCCTTGTATACCTTTATATATCTCTATACTTGAATGAAGATTAATGTCTGTATGATTTTTCTTGACATAGCCTTGATCCAGTGGAATCGAGTCACCACGAAGATTTTTACAAATACCAATTCGAATTTAAAGCAAAGGCAGATAACATTTATACTATAACACCGTTATCGGATACTCTTCTCTTTACCCCAGCGTCGCTGAAAGTATTAGGTGTGAACGATTGTCAAGAGGACATTGTTACATTTGTTGGTAATCTAGGAAAGGTAAGCGCCGTAACGTTTGCTTAAACGTGCTCAATTTGAAAGAAGTTACTTGTCACTTTTTGGCGTAGATAATCGAGGGTGAAGTCGATCCACCATTGGAAGGATTTACCGTACATGTATTTGGTACCGACAAAACCGTACCCCTGCACACGTCGCATAAACATAAAGATGGAAAGTACAGGATCGGTCCTTTAGACAGAAAAATAGAATACAGGTATACATCTGTGGTTTCGTTTTTATTTTTCATTTATTCGGTTCTTACGTAATTCCTAAATTAATGTTTCTTGCCTATTAGCGTTACTGCAGAAATGGAGGGGTTCGTGTTCATAGGACCCGATTCTAGTGGTACGTTTACTGCTTACAAGTTGGCTACAATTACTGTACAGGTGTTCGACCAAGCTGACAATGTTCCCTTGCAGGTGTGTATGCGTCTCGGTCGAATGAAGCTCGAAAATGAATAACAGAAAACAGTAATAGATTGGTATTTGTTCGTCGTGATACAGGGTGTCTTGCTGTCCTTTTCTGGTGGACAGAGTTATCGAAAAAATAGCATTACCGGCGAGGACGGGAAATTAGTCTTCGACTCTTTGTTCCCTGGCGATTACTATTTGAGACCAATGATGAAGGAATATCGTTTCGATCCCCCATCGAAAATGATCAAAGTCAAAGAAGGTGACATTAGAACGGAAAATCTATTCGGGAAGAGGGTCGCGTTCAGCGCATACGGTTCCGTGACATCCCTAAACGGTGAACCCGAGGCTGGTTTGTTAGTCGAAGTTCAAGGACAAGGAGACTGCGATAATCTTCAAGAGGAAGCGACCACGGAGGACAACGGTGGTTTTCGAATTCGAGGTTTGCAACCAACGGTAAGCGAATCCCTCTATTTGTAACTCGTGTTTCCTCTGTTCTTTATTCGAATCCGAATCTTTTCTTTTAAAAGTGTTTTATTTTCTTCCATATAGTGTACTTATGCATTCCGTTTGAAACCAAACGCTGAAGTTAACACGCACATTCAGCGCACCAGTCCCGTCTCGACATCAGTACAAACTTCGACGGACATTCGTGGTCTTCGATTGGTCGCATTTCATCCAATATCGCGCACCGACGTTTCGGTACACGTTGTGTCCATGCAACCGGAACATTACCGTACGTTGAAGGTAAAATTGTGTAAGAAAGATACACCCGATTCTCCCATACATACATCGAAATTAGAGGCTCAGCAACTTAATAAGGTCGGAAGCTCTTATAATGCCGGCTTTCTTGTTCATTTCCCTCCGTTGCAGGCTGATGGTAAAAAATACTTTGTACAATTAGAATCGTCCCTGTCCCCTACGCTACACAAATATAGAACTCAGCCCTTTTATTTCGAAGCAAACTCGTCGTTCAAGTCCGTGAAATTGTTATTTAACGCGGAACGAAAAGTCGACCAAAGCGATATGAATCAAACATCCATGGTTGCTTTACCTTTTATTATACTCATTACTGTCGCGTTTTTCAACCGCGAAAAACTTTGGTTGTGGTTAAACGCTTTAATCGAAAGATGGTCAAAACCGGTGCCAATTTCGAGAACTCCGGTACAAGCTGTTCCCATCGATCCGAGAGCGGATGACATTATAGTCGAGCAAATAATGAACATTAACAAAAGAAAAAATAAGTCGCGTAAACTATAATTATTTTCGATCTTTAGATCGTTACGATACAATCAGCATCACAGCGACTAGTTCGCTTTGCAAATGCGATAACATCCTCAGCCGGCCAATAGATCTCGTCGCGTTTTATACTGTGTACATATGAACAGAGTGATTCAGCGGATACCATTATAATCGAAAGCTTCACGCCGTAAATGAATGACTGTCGATGCGATATATTCATAGATGTGTTTCTAATGAATACGCCATTTTCATAGATAATTATATTTTTATTAGATACGCATGTATTATAGTTTTACCTTACAACGTTTCAGTTTGAAACGATAAGGATTGTTTAAACGATTCACTTTACTTCTGTGATGGTTACGGAGCAATAAATGCCTAGAGAACGAAAAATGAAAATGATTTACGTTAACCTGATGTTCGATCTGTCAAAAAAATACATTAAATTCGACTTACTATAGGGTTGACTTCATACATGCATTTCATAAACTTGAAAGACTTTTCGCATTTGTCCACATCATCTAAAAATAATTATATACAACTTTCGATTAGAAAGGAGAACACGAAAACGTGAACAATTTGTTAAAATGCTCACCAACGTCGCTACAACTATCAATCATCTCGTTACCCAATTCTTTATAAGCGTTTGGAATTACTTTTTTCAGTAAATTGTACTTTATCTTACCATCCTTGTCCATCTATATCATTGAAAATAATAACAATCTCGAGGTATAAAAAACGCAATAACGTGTAACATAGGAATCATTGTCTTGCTATCAAGTGCAAAATACGAATATCAAATTTTACCATTTTAAACTTTTCGAGGACGCATTTGAAGTAACATTTCAACTTATCATCATCCGGAAATTCTCCATATTCAGTGTCCTCAATAATTTCTGGAAAAGGTAATTATTGTCAGATTTTAAGAAATTACAGTAAATAATCGACAAAACATTCCACAGCATTCATTTTGTGACCTACCGAGTTTCACCTTAGTTTCCGCCATACACTTTTTTCTATAATTGGCCGTCATTTTTCTAAATTCGTCGATATCGCTCTTGTTCGTGAAACATTCGGGATATTTCGGTTAAAAGTGTAAGGAAAGGTTATACGAAAAGAAAGAAAGTAGACTTACCATACCACCGCAAGCTAAATTAAGTTGCAACGCCAGAAAACACATCAAAGCCAACCAAATTCCCATGACTCTCATGTTATCACTAATGCGTGTCCTTTGATGTTAATGTTCGGATAGTGTACTGGTCGGGTGTATACGATCTACTACTATGAATCCGGATCATTTATAGACGTCCGCTATTCGCTTCAAGCGGAAAGCGAAAATCGGTCAGTATAATTTTCAAATTATACGTAACAATTCGATCTTTCTCGCCAAATGGACACGGAAACGTACTTCCTTGATCAGACGTTTACCTAATGATAACGTGTAGTGGCTAAAGAAGGTGTTAAGCTCCAACAAAAATATAAAGTCTAGCGTAAATACAGCGGTACAAATTACGATAAAGGAGCAATTACCGAACACGATGGTGGACAATGAAATACACTATTTTTCAAAACGTTCAATTGATATTCAGATTTCGTGTTCACTTCTAACATGTTCGAATCGTCGTTAATTACATTTTTATTACGAACACGTTAAATTATATGGACAAACGTGTCTTGCGCAGTTAAACCTCCCGTTTCTTATGTTTATAAGAGAAACAGTGTATGCTGTTTAAGCAAATTTCGTATTAGTTATTTCGATAAGAAATATGAAAGATCTCGCTGATTATATTAAAAAATGGATAGTTTGATATGAGTATCGCTAAAGCGATTTGAACAGGGAAAATACTTTAATATGATCATCTAGAGGACGGTAAAACGAAAGTAACGTAGAAGATAGATGTCTCGAACGGATTTTTATTTTCACTATTATTATTATTGTTATTATTATTGCTGTTGTTGTTGTTGATGGTGTTGTATAGAAAACAATCTACGTTCAAACGGATAAGATTTCGTTACATATTAAAACGAAACGTCCAATGAGATAGTCGCATCGTTCGTTCTTATTTCACCGTCGATTCAAAGTAAAACCCAATTAAAAGAGATAGTATGTCTGAAATAGAAGAAAAGAAACGTTGGAAAAATTCAAACTGATGAATAAGATTATTTATTGAATAGGAGCTACTCACCCGCGGTGACGATTCCGCGTAACATTTGTTAAATCTGTACGCAAACTCGCAATTGTCACCTTTGGCTAAAAAATCGACTAATTAGCAACCGAGATTGGTATGCTCGGTTCATATGCAATCGTATGCAATAAAAATAAAATTCATAGGATATAAACAATAAACATCACTATTATCTTGCACGAAAGAAATAATTTTTAGGAATAATATAGGACGGAGTTTTCAAAAATGCTTTAAAGAAAAAATATACGAAACATAATATACATGTGTGTGTGTTTGTATATATACCCAAGTATTTACCGATCCCTTTGCACTCGCTGATTGCTTTTTGAACCTCTGCTCTGTAAGCTGGTATTCTTTGAAAAAATGTAAGCATGCCATTCAAGCTGAGTTCACTCTTGTCGTCAACCAGACCAAATTGTTCCCATAGACAGTACATGTAACACTGCGAACCAAATAGAACGCTTCTTTTTTTTTCGCTTAATAAGTCGCGAGATCATGGACATAGCAGACCGATTCGTGAGCTTCATCAGTGTATTATTACCTTCAATTGTCGTGTTTCGGGCCACTGACCATTCCTTACTGCTTCTATGTCCACTAAAACAGAAAGGAAATACAGCTTTACATAGAATGCGATTGAATTGGCTAAGGACCTCTACAATTTTATCACAACTCGAAATTCTACCTGTCGTCACTCCCGTTTGGGTCTGACAAGCATTCACCACGCTAGCTGCTGTTGCGATCATTTTATCAGAAACGAAACTCGGCCGCGTCTAAAAAAATATTTTTTTATTAATCCTTCATAGTTCACACATACACATTTTTAAATAAAGCGCGATGCGCACGCAACTCTAGCTGCGCAACTATCGCATTCCCTATCTTCTCGAATTTCCAGGAAAGAGAATAAGTTCAAGGAACATATGTAAAATAAGTTATCTTCGAAGAAGCAAGAATAGAGAAAAATAACAAAGCACAAGACCAAACTGTGATTATCTCAATCGCGATGGTACATACCCCACAACGAACAACTGGCGACCGAATCAAGCAGAGAATCAACAAACTCAATAATATCGAGTACTTCATGATTCGTATTTGATGCAAATCAAAACGATCCGAATCAATAAGATTTCCAATAGAAATTGAGTTAATCTGATCCGGCCGAGGTCCGGAGGGTAAAAAATATTCGATAAGATATGCAACAGTTACAATTAGTGGTGCCGGCAAACGCGAGGGCGCGACTGAATGTTCATGCGCTCGACGACCGATCAACCGACCGAGGGGGAGATTTGTCAACGCGCACCGCGCTCGCTTATAACCAAACAGAATCCTATGTCGTTACCTTCGCTATGAAATTAAGCTCACACAGTTTACTCGTTCGTTTATCCCCTTGTTCGTTCGACAAATCGCTCGACAAATCACTTGGCACCTCGATCGTTTTTCCACTATATTAGTAATTCGTATCATATTTTATATTATCATATTCTTCTATAAAATTATCGTTTCATCAATTGATAATTAAATCCGTTTTTAAATCAAAAGACGCGGGTGAACGAACTTTTCGATTTAACATACATATATAGGCCAGGGTATAGGCATAAACGCAGATTTGATTGGCGGATGTTACCATTTTGCAATCTGACTCTACGCAATTTCTCTTGTCTCCTACACATTCAACCGATTCAAATGCCTCGTTTCGTTCCTATTCATGCGTCGTTTACAAATTGCAACAGAACGAAGCACGTTCACAATCATTGCCGAACGAGTCAATTATGAATGAGAACGTATTGAACGACGGTCTTGGCATTTTGTTCCTTTTTAAAATTTGTCACTAGAATTTCTTTTTCAATTTCATTTATAAAACCCACTTATTAGAATGGAATTAAATTGTACGATTATTGATAATTGGAAAATGATACGTTATCGATTCCATTCAGCATCACGTATATCCGATAAGTTGATTTGACATCGGTAGAAAAATAAAAAAAGACACAAAAAAATATTTTACGCGCTAAAATATGAAACAGTACATATTCGAACATGGCTATCCAATACGCGAATTGCGCGGCAAGTAAGCGAGGGAAGCAATTTGTGGGTCAATACAATTCCGTCGAAGGTAGTCGAATATACCCGAACGAACCCCAACTAACATCGTCTCGAGTACAGTCGTCTTTTAAAATTATTAACCACTGTCAACCCATCTGAACACAAGTTATAGTTGTTGATATATTAAACACCGAAACAACGAGGTCATCCAACGAAATTTATATGATGATAGTTAACTCGATATCCGTCGAAATGTCGCGTTTGTTGCTTGATCATTTTTCTCATTTAACATAACCTTTTTGACGACTGTACCTTTCCCGCTGCTCGCGGATGTACAGTCAGCCGATTTACTATTGTCGAGTCAAGCGTGTACTCTTTTAATGGAGTAATACGGAAATTTGATCAAATTTGCGAAAAAAAATAACGTTTCGCCGGAAGCTCATTTGCTCTAAAATCTTTGAGACGAATCGAATTCGTTCAAGTTTCCATACATAAAACCATTTCGACAAACTGTACGGTCGGTGACACAGTACAGTCTGACCGAATTAATATTGACGATTCTGTCACACTCTTGTACCAGTTTCTAAATTGAAAGCATTTTAAGATTTATATAGCGACCATTACGACTTTACTGTGTCGCACTTGGGATATTTCCTCGAGCAGGACAAGTTATTAAACAGCGATGCTTCAACGAATTTGGAATCACGAAAGACAAAACGAGGACAAACGAATCTCGACAGACTGTACAGCTGAAGTTGTATTGACTGCAGCGTTTTCTTCGAGCGACTGCATTTCGCCTAAAACAAGACGTATAAGGGATTTCGAGGATGAAAATACAAAGTGTCGTCGATGCTCTGTAACACTGAACAAATGGTCTCAATTGGAGGAAGATAATCAAGGTAAATTTGTTGAATGAAGTCGAGTTCATTGAACGTTCCAATTGCATTCCATCGACGCCAAGATTTCGATCCGTTTCTAGCACGGTACGATGTCAAAGACAAGAAAGAAACAACACTTTTTGAAACACGTTCGTAGCAAAAATTTGATCACGAAATAGAATGATACAATGGAAATTTTCGAAATTTGAAGATTGCGCGACAAACGGAAAGAATCGCAAGAACCTAATTAAAATTTCGAAAAACTTTCTGATCAAGCACTGCCATTGTCACGTGATCCATGCTTTTCTTACGTCATTTTTCGCGTTAAATTTAAAATTTTTTCCAACCCCATTGTCATTTGCTTTTGGTAAAACAATTTAATAATTTGGAACAAAATGGGGAAAACGAGAGGAGTGCATGAAACAACGCCGGAATTAAGAAATCGAATGGTGGGAATGTATGAAGCTGGTTTAGCCTTGCGAGAAATAGCGATTGCTGTAAATTGTTCGGTAAGTACATTTCAAAAATCGTACAACACTTTGAATTGTATACTATGTTTGTCATGTTTATTATTTTTAGCCACGTACAGTAAAAAGATGGTTAAACAGATTTGACAAAGAAGGGACTGTGGAAACCCGAGAGCGATGCGGACGTAAGAGGGCCACAACAGTGGAACAAGATGAAGCAATTGTACGCCTAGCCACACAGACACCGATAACGGCAGCAAAAGCTGTACTTCCTGCTCTAGGACTGACATGCTCTGTCGATACTATACGTGAACGATTACATAAAGCTGGTATTCATAATTGGAGCCCCTCGCGAAAATACATGCAAAGAATCCCGCTTGGGTTAGTTCTTCAATGTTATCGATATTTTTACACGCAAATCTTTTATATTCTGTATGCCATTCGACTGTGCTTTTCCATTTACAGTGATACGGATGGTGTTGCTATTCAACAACCTGTATGGAGACCTACTGGAACACAATTAGGAAAAAAGAAGTCTTCCAAAGATCCTAATAAAAATGAAAAAAATGTTAATATAGTTAAAAAGAAGAGTCCATTAAAAAAAATTAAAGCCAAAGATGTTTATGTCGGAGATGGTGCACCGGTAGAAAATATTAAATCTTCTAATGAACAACAAGAATTCATATATCCGCAACAAAATGCTTCGCAATCTCAAGTTAATGAAATACAAACTCCACCTAAACTTTTTGCACTGCAACCAGAGTTTGGGAATACTTTGAATTTAGCTCAGCAAACACAATCTATTTATCAACATCCTGCATTAAATATCTCCCAAAATTGGCCTCTAGATTTAGTCCAAGGAAGTCATCACTATCCACAGGTTTGTACAACCTACCTCTCTGTATAAAAACATTAATTTCATACATCGCTTTTATTTTCTCAAATCTTAGGGTCAACCAAATTCAATATCTCACGAACAAGTAGCTTCCTCTCAACAGCTTCAAGAGTTGCATTCACAAGAACAGCGGCAACACCACATACAACAAGTACAACAAACAATCACGGATCAAACTCACAATCTTGATCAACAACAAGGGCAACTTCAAGCAGAAGTTCAACAGCAGCATCATGATCATTTACATCCTCAACTAGCTAGTCCACAAACCAGTACGAATTTAACTTCTGATAATTCTAATACTCGTGGTCCTCAAGATAATAATCAGTCTTCTAGCATAGAATCTAATCAAAATAAAGATTCGTCGAATGAAGGTAGCGCGAAAAGTGAAGTACAAAGTAAGAAAAAAAAGGGCGGGAAAGCAAAAGGAACATTGGAAACCAGCGTTGAAATTCGAAATCGTATGATCGGCATGTCCGAAGCCGGTTTATCCACATTATCTATCGCGCTTGCAATCGACAGATCGGTAAGAAGAAACATGTTCGTCTTGATGGATTCACATAATTAAAACCATCTCGTGGATAGCCGTATACGCAATACTCGTTATTAAATAGGAACGTACCGTTAAAAGATGGTTAGAACGTTGGCATAAAGAAGGTAACGTACAAACTAAGGAAAGAAAGGGACGTCGACGAATCACTACTAAAGAACAAGACGAAGCTATCGTTGCTATGGCTACTCAGCAACCGTTAACTGCAGCTAAGTACGTTGCGCCTGCCCTGGGTTTAAAATGTAGCGTAGATACGATCAGGGAAAGGCTTCATAAAGCAGGAATACATAGTTGGAAGCTTGGAAAGAAACAGGGGTTAGTATGCTTAAACAAAAAAAAAAAAAACAAAAAAAAAAAACAGAAAAAAAGGAAAGATTATCCTTTGGTATACACGTCTATATGTTTATCCGTATCAAGCAATCGCCAACTATTTTAGAGAAGGAAATGCTGTACATACTGTACACCTTTGGCAACCCAGTGGAAATCGGCCGAATAAACCAAAACTATCCGGTGAAAGGAAGAAAAAATCGTGCAATAATAAAAAACGCGATCAAGTATCAAGCAATTCGCAAAAACTATTGTTTGTTACAAAAATAAAAGCCGAGACCGCTCTAGTGAAAATGGTTTCACCACCTATAAATATGATCTCGGAACAAACTACCGCCTTACCATTCCATAATTCTGGAACAAGTAAGCTCAGGATACCTTAAAGTAGTATCATATGCCGTATTTCATTTAATAAAACTTAATTGCTAATTCTGAAAACCACTCCCTAGTGGCAAACTATGTTTCAGGTTCTAATATGATACAACCTATCCATAATATTCCCGCACCTCCTCCTACAATTGTTCAATCTCAGTCACATCCACCAACAGGTCCACCGCCAATACCGCAGTCGATACAATCAATGAATTCTATGATGCAACAAAGGCCTGACTGTCGATTAGCACAAACAATTGTAGCATCCGTATCGGGACAAGGAAGTGCCGGAGTTGTCTATCCATCGTGTATGGTTGGAAGTAATAGTCACACAGGACACATGGAACAACCAGATCTTTTAAACTATGAACCATATATTTGGAGTTTCTAATCATTAAGTATGTGAATAACATTAAATCGTAAACTTCCAAGTCACTTTTATGATATATTTATATCATTCTAATTTTGTTTTTTTTCTTCTTCTATTTCTTATGACATCGTATGATGTTCGAAACAAGAAGTAAAATTACTATACTAATTTTACGTTCATACTGTTTATAATAGTTACGTAACGTTCATTTGAATCATAAGCAGTGTTAGTGAAAGTATTTCGGTATTTTTATAATTATTAAAATCGAGAATAAAAACCTCAAATAAATATTATCAAGTTTGTAATGGTTTACGACAATTGAAAGGGTAGGTTTAACTTCGATCGATCATACTTGATCTTCACTATATCCTCGTAATTGCATGCGTTAACTAATTAGACATAACAATATAATTGTTAGTTAATATTGAGAAGAACACAAGATTTGTTGCAAAAAATATAGTTATTTCCTTATTGTTTGTTACTTGCAATATATTGTTGATGGATGTAGTATTACCAAATGATGACAAAATTTTTTGTATGGAATTAAAATTGTAAGACAAAAAGTTTCGATTGTATCATCTTTGATACATAGTATAAGAATAGTCGTTTTTTATTTAAACGTAAGTTGACTAAATCTATACTTAGAGACAGAAGATATACTTTTGTAACATCTTACTCAAATTTAATTTGCATTATTGAAAATTATTACTTAAAATGTATTTTCACTGTCACTGTCCTATTGATTTAAAAAATGTTTATGTTAAATATAACTGAACGAATCAATTTTAGTAATATGAAAAGACACGTCAATATTGTGTAAATATATAGCGATATACGCATATGAATTTACGTAATTGAACAAATATATTGATAAAAATAAAAGAAAAGTTATACAATGTTTATTTTGCTATACGATGTATTTTATCTTTAAATCGTCATTCACAATGTGGTAATGAAATATGCGAAATAAATTACCGTAAAAATAAAAAATTTGTGCCATGTTATTATTGTTAACACTAGAATTATCTACCTACAACGTGTACCTAAATATAGAACATATAATTGATATTAATTTTAAAATGGTATAATGGAAATAAGAATGAAAATTACAATACTATTTGAGCAAAAATCAATATTAATTTTACCAAAGACAGCGACATATTTTCAGCAAATGTATAAAAATAAAAATTCTAAAACAAGTTATTTTGACTCCTTTGGTAGATCTAATGTTAAATTTATACTAACAAATGTTTCAGGAATAAAAACAGTTCACTGACAAATTGACAGATTAATATTTATGATCCTTATAAATATGAAAACTTTAATAACTTACAATATTTAAAATTACATGCTTCATTATCCTTACATACATCTCTTTTATAGTTATCCAATTTATTGATATAAGAATTCGTCATTTAAAATTAAATTTTACACTATTTAATAGTATGATTTATCATGTAATTTCCCATATACGTGAAACATTTTTTAATACATTCTGAGGATCGTTTTTGTGAAACATAAAGAACCCTTGAATTTGCGCTGGACTAATATGTTTCTTCTCTGATAATACAGATTCTGTAAACTGTTTAGCAAGTTCATTTGCCTTGTTGTCAATATTCTTATAAAATCTCAAAAACATCTGTTCCACTTGATTTGCACTGCACCAACCTATAATGAAAAATAATGCTAGTCGTTATACATATTCAATCGCGTTAAATTAATTAATTCTCAATTACTAAGAAATATAATAATAATTCACCAAATATTATAACTGTACCTATGTATTCTTTTACGTCTACCCTACCGGGTCTAATTAATGCAGGATCTAATCTTTCTAAATAGTTTGTTGTCATAAACAAAATTCTTGCCTCTGCAGAAGCAACACCATCTAAACAATTAAGCAAACCACTAAATGTAACTCTATTTAAACCATCATATGCAGCTTTCACTGTAACAAAGTATACAGAAATAGTAAGAATATAAACAACTAATACCGCATAATTTTATATTCTTTCTTTAAATTTACTACTTACTTTCTCTACTTTCTTCTCGACTAGCAAACGCGGCATCAATGTCTTCCAAAAGTATAATAGTTTGTTGTGGTGCTACTGCTAATAGGTGATTTAATCTGTCATCTGTTAAACCTCGCTCTGATAAATTTAAAACACAAATTCCCATTTCTAATTCACCAGCTAACGCAGTAATGAATGAGGATTTACCACAACCCGGAGGGCCATATAATAAGTATCCTCGCCGGTATGGAATACCTAGATAATTAATAATGTATCTTCTATTCTGTACAACATTTACTGCAAAGTATTATTTATATACCACGATCGCTATACCACGAAGGATTTTTTATAAATTCACGACAATCATTTATTATCCTTTCTGCAACACCCGTATCTAAAATGACCGAATTTAGCGGTCTTCGTTTTCTAGGATGTCCAAATTGTCTCCATTCACTTCCCATTGCAGTATACATTATTGTTTTGCCTTCATACTCTTTTAATGCCATTTGCCTGGCTATAAATAAAAATTGTTTATTTAAAAATTTTTTAAATTTGTATATTTTAGTGATAATTAGACACAGTTAATTAGTACCTCACCTTCTTCTAAAATATTAAAATATATATTTCTATTTCTTCCAAGTGCAGTAAGTTGCACTGTTTCCCATGGTATACCCATTTGTATGTCCAAAGTTTGTTGCTCCCTAGTTCGTTCTACCCTTATCCAATTCCCATTATATCTATTAATTTGAACAGTAAATAAGTTATTTGCAATTCACATAACTCAATTGCCAAATAACTTTTATTAATATAATTTTTGAACTATCACAAAAGTATTTCATACTTGTCATTGCAATATGAAATTTTGCAGTGATAAGTACAGTTACTTCTAACCTAATAAAATGTGTTCCAATACTTGGTATGAAATCATATCTAGTTTTTATGTGACCTGTTTCTCTTTGCTCGAAACTTGTTTCAACAGAAAGATGTTGTGTTTCCTTTGCACCTTTTTGTGTAATCCATTGCAAAAGCCATTGGTAGCTCTTATCACGGCATGGAACTTCTAAGGTGATCATATAATGTCGCCTGTACTTGTAAAAAATTAAACATTACATGGTATTGAACAATAGATAATGTGCAATTTAGTTATAAATAATACCTGAAAAATATCATTCCTGCCTGCATTCCTTTCCGTAATAAAGCTGCCCCAGCACCTATTCCGAAGAGTCCAAAACCAGCTCCAAAATAAGGATTATCAGATAAAGTTTGTACATAATCTATTATAGTCATAATGAAACTGTTTATTACTTTCCTAAATAGAAATGTTAAATTTGTTTAAGCATTAAATTGTTCCTAATATGCTGTATCGTATATGCTAACAATGTTTAATTGTTTCATACAGCATTTATTAACTTACACTTATATTATGTTTAAAATGATGTAATTATAAAGGAAATTGCTCTTAATTTAATCTTGTACAATTGGAGCATATTATAAGGTTATAAGAGTAAAAAGCGGAGAAATATATATTTTTAAGTTATACAAAAGAAACAACACAATTTTATAGATTTCTTTTAAAAACGTATTGATAATCTATATAATTGGAAATAGTTCAAATTTTATAGAAAGAGTACATTGCCGATATTTCGTAGCATCTTTTAACACATCGGGATCTGTACTTTACGAAATTCGTAAATGTATACCTGTGCGTACAGTAATCTTACGATATATAGACATATCGAACTCTTTTGCCAGTGCGATATTTACCGGCACGTGCTCTACATGGATTGGCTGTTATCGTTAACCAATTCTTCTATAATATTAATTTTATGGCAAATTTAAAGGTATGCAAATTTCGTTAAAAAGAAAGGCGAATTTTTCCACATTTACGCTATTGTGAAAATGTATTATTTGATTGATAATTATATTATCCTTATTTTTAATAATTTTGATCATTTTGACCATATTGTTTCTCGTTTTATTCGATAGCTCAACATCATAATGAATAAGAATTTGTATAATCTCCCAATCATTCCAAGATAACGATAAAAGTATATTACTGTGACAATGAATTTTTATGTATAATAGATACGCTTAGAAATTTGATCATTTTATCTCGTAGCACATTAAAGGTATAATTTTTTGTTTCCTGAATTTTTTAAATCCTCAAAATGTCACAGTATTGTTACAAAGACGCTAATTTTTCAGCTTTATTGAATCTGTTACAATTTTACTTTTAGTTTCGGCGTTATAAACAATTTGGTGTTGCTTACAGATGCGGTTAACTACATTTCTTTGTTTTTTGTTACTTTGTGTAATATGTTTTGAAGCAGATAAAAGAGTGAACAAGTATGTGACTACTTTAATAAATGCAAAATGGAAAGAAACACCTTTGGTTCTTGAAGCTGCAGAATATCTAAATGATGAAAATCCAAGTTACTTTTGGAAATTCATAGATACTTTTGCCAGTTATGATTTGAGAAATGGTAATATCTAAGTATTTTGATTTTTGTTAAATTAGAAACAGCATAATATTGTACTACTTTCCTTTCATAGTCACGGAGAAAGATAACTATGATGCTGTTATCGAATTTGCTGAAAAATATTTATCCCCCTCAGAGGTAGCATTAATGAAATTAGGATTATCCTTACGAATTTATTCAGCACGAGTTGAGATGTTTACACAAATGGCAGAAAATAAAAATATTTCTGCTTTTGATTGTTATAATGTAGTGGATATTGGTGGAATATTCACCTGTTCTTTAGAAGAATTAGAAAAATTATCCAGTCAAGTAAGTGGTACATTTGAACATTAATGTATGATGTTAATGGATTAAAATTCCATGTTCTTCATAATTTTAAGGATTCTTGGTTAAATCCGGATATCTACAGTGTAGATCATCGTTATCATGTATCTCAGCACCCAGAAAAAATTATTATTTTATATGGTCAGGTTGGAACACCAAAATTCTCAGATTTTCATAACAAATTAAAAACTCTTGCAAGAACCAGTGGAATTAATTATATTTTACGACATTATTTAAAGGTATTATAAAGTATATTTATTGTAATAACAATAACAATTTCATAGCATTTTAAAAACATTCGTAGGACAGAACAAATAAACATGTACGTTTATCAGGATATGGGGTAGAATTGCAAATGAAGTCTACGGAGTATAAGGCAACAGATGATTCAGATATTAAGGATAATGCAGGGAAAAATTCAGAGACCATAAATGATAGCATGGAGGAAATACATGGAATTAATTTTGTAATTTTAAAGTAAGGTGGTTACATTCTTAATACACCAGTAGACCTTATTTTTATGTTAATTTTAGAGCACATGTATCGCTTTTTATATTTATTTTATTTTCTATTACTACAATAAAATTTGATTATTTTAGAAATTTGTATCCTGACAAGCAATTAGAGCTGGATAAGTTACAAACACATTTGCTTGAAACTAGCCAAGAAATTGGTGCTTTAAAAGTGTGGCAATTTCAAGAATTAAGTCATCAAGCAGCTGAAAGAATAATGAATTCTCCCACAAATGAAGCTATTAATGTTTTAACGGATATTTCACAAAATTTTCCAATACAAGTAAATTTTTCTTATAATCCTATCGCTAATATTCGACGTCTTTAGTTTATTAATCACGATCTTTAATTTATTTAAAGGCGAAATCTTTAATTAAAACAAAAGTGAATAGTGAAATGAAGAAAGAAATGAAACTCAATCAAGCAATGTTTTCTGCAAGTTTAAATATACAACCCACAGAGACTGCACTTTTCATTAATGGATTGTTTTTCGATTTAGAAGCAGTAGATGTGCTCAGTCTTCTAGAATCTTTAAGAAGTGAATTAAGAGTAATGGAATCTCTTCGTAAGATCGGTACGGCAAGCATTACATGTTAAGAATAACTTGTCAAATATGAAATGAAAGACAAGTAACATCATGGATATTGTCTTTGTAGGATTTAATAATAAGGAGATCAGCACATTATTAACTTTAGATTTATCCACTAATACGGATAAACAAGAATTCGCAATGGATATAAGAGATTCAGCTATAATTTGGGTAAACGATATTGAACATGATGCAGCTTATGCAAGATGGTCGTCGTCGTTAACAGAATTATTAAGACCAACTTTTCCAGGAATGATCAGAAATATTAGGAAAAATTTGTACAACTTGGTTTGTAAACATCAATCAATGACCTAAAGTAATTAAAATGTAATGATAAACAGTTGCAAAAACACAAATCTATTTAAAAATTGTATTTTCCAACAGGTACTAATTATTGATCCTTTAAGTGGAGAATCTATTCCTCTGATAACTTTAGCACAATCTTTATATCTACATTCTGCTCCACTAAGAGTAGGTTTTGTTTTTGTAACAAATTATGATACTGCTGTAACTGGACTAACAGATGCCAGTGTTGCAATTAATAATGCGTATCATTATTTTGCGGAAAGTAAAGGATCGGAACATGCTTTACAATTTCTGATAGACGTAAGGCTTTAGGGTATACGATCATTTACTGTATGGCCTTATTGATCATATATAGGGAATTAATGAAACATAGTAATGTGTAATATCCTGTTCTAGCTAGGAAATTATGTTGGATCAGAAAAAATGGACGTAGAAGACATAAAGAAGGCAATAAAACTGCAAGATTCGTCTGCTAATATAAATTATATCCTTGGTGAAGAATCTGAATATGATGTAGGGCGTCATTTAGCCAGTGACTTTGTGAAGCGATCTGGTTTTAAAAAATTTCCACAAGCTTTATTAAATGGTGTACCTTTGTCATCTGATCAGTTGAATAGCAATTCATTTGAAGAAGCTGTTCTATCTACTATAATGTCGCAAACACCTGCATTACAGAAAGCTGTGTATCGAGGAGAAATAACCGAAGAAGATGATGTGGTAGATTATATTATGAATCAACCAAATGTTATGCCTCGGTATACGATTTTAATATAGAATATTTACTCATATGATTCCTGCCATTTCATTCAATATAATTTCTGTGTTTTTTTATCTGTTGTAGCTTAAACGAGAGAATATTAAAACCAGAGAAGCACACGTGGTTAAATTTAATTGGTACTATACCTAATGATGAAGATTATAACAAATGGAGCCCTCAAGATTTCTCAACCTGGCTAATGAGCATATTGCGTTATATATATGTACCACGACGTACAAATATACACCATTTATATACTTTTTGGGTTGTAACAGATTTAAATGATTCAGCAGGTAGACAGTTATTATGTGAGGCACTCGAATACATTGTAAGTGATTTCTTATATTTGTTTACATACATAATTGCATTATAAAGATGCAGATTATTTCCATTAATATTTGAACATAATTGTTATGATTATAATTCAGGAGTCGAATGCGGACGTCAGAATTACTGTAATTGTTAATCCACACGTAGATACGAATGATGCTGATAATACGATCGATATTAATCAAATCGTATTAGCTGTATTACATAGCTTTCCAATAGAAAAGGCTATGCGTTTAATTCGTAACATAATTAAGGAAGATATTGCTAACGTCAGCGACAAAATTGACATGACAGGATTTACAGAGGTAATTATTTTCTTTGAAAATAGTTAATTTGGCAAATATGATAAATATTTAACAAACTGTTACAAAATTAGGAAGATATAACGGAACAGTCAAAAATTTTATTATCTATGCATCGTCGATACGTTAAAACAGTATTGAATTTAGAAAAAGGAGTTAGAGCAATTGTGTGTAATGGACGATTAATTGGTCCTTTGGATGACGGTGAAGAATTTACAAGCGAAGATTTCTCATTATTAGAAAGATTCAGTCAGAGTACTTATGACGATAAATTGTTTAAAAAATTAATAAAGGGAGAATTATTGGAAAATGATGAGTATGGTACGGAAGTCAAATTATGAAAACACATATAACGTAAAGCTGTGGTATTTGTATTATTGTAATAATATTCTTATGATATTATTGTACTGAATTTTTTATGCAGAAAAGAACGAAGTCACGGATGATATGATAATGAAAATTACATCTTTGCTAGCATCACACCCTCAAACGCGAAATCGATTTCATGTTCCTTTTTACGGTGATGATTACAGGCAAGTGTGAAAGTGACGAGAAAATAATTTTGGTGAGCAATTATGAATGAATACATAACTCATAATATTTTGGTTTATATATTTAGCGCCATAAAGATTCCAACGCCGAATCCGAATGAAGTGGCTTTCAACTTAATCGCTATTGTTGATCCAGTATCTCGCGGCGCTCAAAAATTGGGTCCAATTTTAAAAACGCTTCAGCAGTCTTTAAACTGCAATGTTAAAGTGTTTTTAAATTGTTTAGATAAAAATAGCGACATGCCGTTGAAAAGGTACTACATATATATATACCCTAAGTTGATCGAAAAGGAAATATTTACAACAGGAAGATATTCATTCTATTCAATGATTATGTTCGTGTTATTTCAGCTTTTATCGCTTTGTATTTGAACCTGAATTAAAATTTTCATCTGATGGACGTGTTAATGGAGCTGTGGCAAAATTCACAAAATTACCATCTTCATCTCTTTTGACACAGTATATTCATGCACCAGAAAACTGGTTAGTGGAAGTAGTTAGGAGTGTTTACGATTTAGACAATATTAAATTAGACAATGTAGCGATTGGAGTGCACAGGTAAATAAATTATAGTAAAAAAAAATGTAATTAAAATGTATTTCTTTGTATATCGAATATTTGTTGTTACAGTGAATTTGAATTAGAGTATTTACTTCTCGAAGGTCACTGTTTTGAAGCAGTAATTGGAAATCCACCTCGTGGGTTACAAATCACATTGGGAACAGAAAAGCATCCGTTAATGGTGGACACTATAGTAATGGCAAACTTGGGATATTTTCAGTTGAAAGCAAATCCAGGTGAATGGATATTGCGTCTTCGTCAAGGACGATCGGCAGAAATCTATGATTTTACCACTATCAGTGGTCAAGATGTTTTGCAAAACGGTAACGACGTAAAGGTTCTTATAAGTTCTCTAAGGAGCCACGTGTTGAAAGTCAAAGTATCCAAAAAGCCGGACAAGGTGGGAATGGATCTTTTATCAGAAGATGATAAAAGTTCTGGCTTATGGAACTCTATTTCTAGGTAGGTTAAACTACTACTGTTTGTTTTTCGATACGTTGTGTGTCAACTACGTTGATTTAGAATAGTTTTAAGCGCAATAGTTGGTGCTAAGAAAATAAAATATGAAATACATTTAGTATGTCGTCCGTCGGTCCTTTGACCTTAATTTCTATTTATTCTCTCTTTTTTTAGCTTTTCCAAATTTTGGTAAGCTTACCATAATTACTTAAACATTATCGCGCATAACGTGTAACGTGTAGAAATAATTATGTTACTGATTATTCTCTATCTTAAACGTGCATTTTTCATTGTAGTACAACACTTATATACCCATTCTATTACATTAAATTTCTAAAAGTCAATAACAGGGCACTTAATTTTCTGGTTCCATTTCATAATTTTGTTGTTCTCTTCGAAATTAGGACATTTACAACAGCGGATGATAGCGACGATCAGGACGAGAAGTTAAATATCTTCTCATTAGCTTCTGGGCATTTATATGAAAGGTTTCTGAAAATTATGATGTTGAGCGTTATAAAGCATACCAAAAGTCCTGTAAAATTTTGGTTCCTAAAGAATTATCTTTCACCAACATTAAAAGTAAGCGATTATATGCATGATATCGAATTAATAAACAAATCAAAAGATGTAATAGGAACACGATCTAACTAATGAACAAATCAAATCTTTTGCTAGGATTTTTTGCCATATATGGCAAAGGAATATGGTTTTGAATTTGAGCTAGTACAATATAAATGGCCCCGTTGGCTACATCAACAAACAGAAAAACAAAGAACTATATGGGGTTATAAAATATTATTTTTGGACGTATTATTCCCATTGAATGTTAAAAAGATAATATTTGTTGATGCTGATCAGGTATGACTTACAAGCAATTATTGTGATATTTTACTATTGATGTTATCTTTTGCAGTTTACAACGATAAATATAAGTTGTTTAGAATATGACGATTTTGTTAGGTTGTAAGAGCGGATTTGAAAGAATTAGCAACGATGGATCTTGGTGGTGCGCCGTACGCGTATACTCCATTTTGTAACAGTAGGAAAGAAATGGATGGATTTAGATTTTGGAAACAAGGTTACTGGCGAAATCATTTACAAGGGCGAGCTTATCACATTAGTGCTCTATACGTGGTAGATCTGAAGCGATTTCGACGCATCGCAGCAGGAGATAGATTAAGGGGACAGTATCAAGCATTGAGTCAAGATCCAAATAGTTTAGCCAATTTGGATCAAGTCCGTGTGATTCTAATAATAACATGACATAAGTTGATCAAATAATATATAACAATTACAAATAGCGTGTCATTTCAGGATCTTCCTAATAATATGATTCACCAAGTGGCTATTAAAACATTGCCACAAGAATGGTTGTGGTGTGAAACTTGGTGCGACGATGCGTCCAAAAAATATGCTAAAACTATAGATTTGGTAAATACAGTTTACACATTCACGATAAATTTGTAACGTTAAAGTATACATATAATATTCCACTATCATATCGCAGTGTAATAATCCAATGACTAAAGAAGCTAAGTTACAAGCTGCCGTACGTATTTTACCAGAATGGATAGGATACGATGAAGAAATAAAAGCTTTGCAACTAAAATTAGAGAATGAGAATGGGCAAACTGAAAAGAAAGCGAATGGTATCAATTAGACTATTGTAATCTCCGAACGACACATTTACGTAATTTTTCATTTTAATTATACTTTTGTTTTAGAAACGTTTGAAAATACGGAAGATTTTGCGAAGCATGAAGAATTATAAGGAAATATGATATAAGATACGAAAATCAGTTAATAAAGTAAGAGAGGAAACGATACATTGTACGAAAAATTTTCAAAAAATGGATTATTTTTAATGTTCACAAGTTCATTGTTACAGCAACACAATTTCTTTGGATAACCAGTAGATAAAGAATCGTGACAAATCGACATGTAGACAAAACATTGCATTGCAAAATATCATGGAACATCGCGATTGACTGTAATTGAAATTTGGCGAAACATCCCGTTGTTCGAAAATAATATGTTGTCGTAATATCGTAGTAGTTTATCGTAGTTGAAGAACTATGACCGTGCTGTTAACATGATTGTGATTTTGTATTGTCTACTTAATAATTGTAAGAAATAAACTTGTAACGTTTGTAAAATACCTTTTATGAATGCAGGTTCCTTTGGTGAATGGAAAATTCTTTCGTTTACTACTTACTATATAAAGCAAAGAAACGTTTAGTTTTATGTGAACTTGATTACCATTTTTGTTTATGAGCAAGAGAGTAATGGGATGAAAAAGGAACTTTTCGATCGATAATTTAAGTTTAAAAAGGATATTTGTACTTTGAAGAAGAAAATGGTGGATTGATGATAGGTTGCTTTAATTATATGATGTGAAAAATTAAGTAGAAATTAGTTTTTGAAGGAATACATTTCGCTACTAATGACATTTTACGTCAGTAGAAAAACACAAACGTAATAGATTAGTTGCGCGCTCGAGCCAAGTTGTTCTATGCGTATCGTGTATAACAGTTTCCTGATTGAATTATTTGTATTGTTCAACGAAATCGAAAGAAAAGCCGGTACTTTTGAAAAGTAAAAACCTGCATTTTGTTACAAGAATGGATAAGCCTATACGAAGCAATCACATATTGTACGTAATTTCACTGATTTTAATCTTTACTAGGATCAAAGGCTTATGTGCCTTTAATTATAATAACTATAGATCGTTAACAATGAAAATATTGCAAATAGTTGATCAATGAAATAGTTTAATAACGAACATGTTAGATAAGCGTTCAATGATCCGATTTGCGTTAGTTTGCAATATAATCACAGTGATATAAATTTTTAACTCATAACTTTGAGTTCTCATCATTCGATTATTCTTAGTTTCTTAACTTTTCTTACACCAACAGCGTAAACATATATCAATATATTCTAAAATCACACGTTTTTTCAAAGTTTATACGATTAAATTCTGGTATCTATACATTTTACGAATCTTTTTAACTTTATACATATATAAATATAGAAGTATGTATCATACCTTTCAAAGCGTTTTATTTTCGAGTTTATCGCTATTATGACAAAATATGATCAACCTTGTTTGTATTGTTATCACACTATCAAATATGCGTTTAATCACTTTCGAATGTTTAATTAATTTTTAATCTCGAAGTTTCTTTTGTAAACTTTTTTTACTTTACAAAAGCAAACTTCGGTTAGGCAAACTTGAGTAAAAGTCACTTTGTTTTAAAATAAAAAAATGTTACATCTAAGATTAAAAGAAAAAAAGATTGAAGTCTGATTTAAATTCGTCTTGGAAGAGAACGATTTGTCGAAAAATGATCGTTGATACTCGAATGTTGAAAGAAAGCCTTAACATAATGAATCGTGCATACGTTGTCCCCAAGCATGTAGATCATCGGAAGAATTTTTGTATTCTGTCGTTATGAAGATTTTATATTTGTTTACCAATAACTCCATCTATGATCGAAATCGGTGCGAGCGATCGAATATTAGCAAATCGAAAGGAGTAAAACTTCGTGGACAAGGGTGGGGAATAAGGAAACGGAGTACAATCGATTGAACGAAGTTTCAATCGCAGTCACTTCCGATCTCATCGAAGCGAACGATCGATAATTATAGTTGGGAAGATTGATTTAATCGATTTATAATGTGTCGATAACGTGAGAAACTTGGAACAACCGTGATCGTTTATTAGAATGGTCGACGGAAGAAGCGTCAGAAAATAACGGACGGAAACAGGAAAGCGCGATATATCAAGGCGCGAGGCTATCTTATGCGAAGCGCAACAAGGACGGAATGAACGACGAATAGATACGAAGTTTGAAAAGCAGAAACAGATAGAGGAAGCAAAGTGGGGGAATCGATGGTGGCAGGAGAAGCGGTAGAACAAGAGGAAGGAAATCGGTAGATCTTCAAGCACAGAAAGAGAGAGAGAGTAGGGTGGTAGAGATAGTGAGAGATAGTGAGAGAAAGAGTAAGAAGAAAAGAGAGAAACGGAGACGGAACTCAACGAGAGTTAAGCTATCTGCTAAAACAAACGGACTAGACTGGACAGAGGGTCTTCTACTAGAAGGCAGCATGAAGTGGCAATCGGTTTGCGTTGTTTATGTAACTAGTGACGCGCGTACAGTCCATCCACGTCTCTCTGATCGGCCGACGACTTAATAACTCGCTGCTATTTTACAGTCCCGTCGCGCTCCCTTCTTTCGCCTTCGTGTCGCTTCGTCCGCCCGTCTGCGACATCGCGTCTTCGTTGTCTTCCCTTTCGCTTTTCTTCTCCATACTTTCGATCGATCTACCGAACCGTGAATTGATTCGGAGACTCTCACGTCGCGATCAACGCAGCTGTTCACCGCACGCACGCACGCACGCACATGCACACATATACACATGCAACCGTCCCATACAAGGATCATGGACGACGAAAGGATCAAGCTGTGAGTTCGAATATCGTTTCGAATCCGATCGGATCGAATCGAATCGGATTGCTTCTCCCCACTTTCTCTCCCACCTAGTAAATTCATCGTACAACAACGAACCGCGTGCTACGTTTGGCATCGGCATTCTTGCAAACATCGTTCCGTTGCTCTCGATTTACAGTTTTCACAATAGAAACATTCTTTCGTTAAAAAATACGGCTACGACTAGATACTTACATCGTATCTCTGATGCATGTGTTTTATTTAATTTTCTCTATCAAGCAATAACATAGGTGAAAATATGATTCACATACTTGTGTTAAATACTCTTCCGTCAACGGTACATTCCCTTTTCTTTTCGAATAATTCCTTCCTTTTATACTGGTTCCTTTATTATGGCTCTTATTGTTTCTTGTATATGTTTAATTTCTACCTGCTCGATTCGAAGTTCGTCGCAATCTCATCAGTGATAAAACGAAACTTTAGAGTGTTTCCACAGGCCTGACGGCCATGCTGTATGAAAATCAGGAAGTGCATTTCGTTCAAGCTTGATTGCAATAAAAAGGAAAAAGGTGTCGCTGTCTGATAGACGAAATAGCATTCGAACGTGGAAAAAATTCAATCATATATCGATTAAGATTATCTCGTGTTTACGTATGTTTAAAGTATACAATTTCGAATTGCGGTCGTATATTTTATCGTACGTAGTATGCGTAATAGTTGATCTATTGCTCGAAAAGCGATTAAATGAGTAGAGACTATGGAAATAAGAAAGAAAATGCACATTGTGAAAGAAAACGACACGCGTATGTTGCTACATGGTACACCTTATATTATGCCTTTTAAAACGTACCACCGCTCTTAGCTTGTTTCTTTTTTTTAGAACCATGAAATGAGGACTATACGGTTCGATCGGACGGACAATTTTGCACACGGCATTATCATCACGGGAGTTCGTTTTTTCCTGCAGAGAAATCGTTTTTACGGATAACGGCCTAACAAATACGCGTTTGCACACGGTATCCTCGATGATATCTTATTGTCTGATACAGAACTACACGAGAACCAATAATGATCGTTAAACGTATCACGCGCGATCTCACATAATCGAGAGTTCCTACCTCATCATCGTCGTCTTCTTTCAGTCGAGCTTCCTTGGTATTCTCTACTTTATCTTGTGCGATGCGTTTGAATTTTCGGCGGCAATCCTAGCCATTTTGAAAAAAGCCAAGGAACAGGAGGAAACACCATGATCGATAGCAAGTCAGTAATAATCGTAAATAACGGCGTTTCTCTACTAATGCATACACGCATACACGCACATACATTTGTGTACGCATAACGAGATTATAAAATTTGTAGGATTTTTCAGAAAGCGATGAAAATAAACGAGACGCATAACCACGTATGTCTCTCTGTTTTGATATGTCAACGGTGTACATACCAGATGCTCACGACAATGACATTTTTCTTCTGACGATAACACGCTCAGGGTCGTGCGGCATAGATCGTAAGCGGGATTAAGTGATTGAGCACTGGCATCTTAAGTCCTCTTCGAACGAGTCAAATATCTTATATCTCTCTTATTTTCTTACTCTATTTTCTTTCCTTTTTTCTCACTTGTATCAAAGAAGCTAGCATTATTTGTACCGTTTTCTAGGTGATTCGTTTGTGGGATACTTCCCGAGTATCGATTGCGTGTTTCGGAAATCGAATAACGACGGTGCGATAATAAATTCAGTCGTAATCATAGATATTGGTTCGCAGTTATCTTCCGCGCGATCGAAAACAAAGAGAGAAGAACGCAACGAGCACGGAATCGTATAACGATAGTTTAGCTTCGATTATCTAGTTGATATAAGGTATAAACATTAGGTTGAAAACGAGATCGGCGGTAACGGTATGGAGTATCATAAAATCGAGGAGAATTCGCAATGTATGACAAGTTCGAGATTCCATAAGTTAACAGAACTCATTCCAACGGAATCGATGGTGTATGTCGCTGGCATGTTGATCAATTATGTTGCATCCACGTGGTTGCAGCAGCATACGTTGGATCAGAAATCAATCGGTTCTTTTGTTTATTCCTCAGTTTCAAAGACAAAGCTGTGTATGGATATGGGACGAGCATTCCACCAAATAACAATGAAGTTGATGAGAACGAAGCCTCGCCAAGGAAGGTGGTGTTTTGCGTACACGGGAAGCTATCGGGTTGCTGTACGATAGTAAAGAGTGCTACATCGATCGACGAGACCGCCACCGTTACTACCGCTGCCTCTGCCATCGGCGGCTCCAATTTCCAACAAAATTCTTCCAGTAAGCATTTGTAATTGAAACAATGAATATATTCGGAGGAAATTTTAATTCTCTTTGGCTTATTTGTCTTTTCTAGCTGTACCGGAAGACCATTGTCACAGAGAAAGAAACGAGGAGATCGATAAAAAGGCAAGAAAGAAATTACTGCTTGCTAGTACGCTATGCGTAATTTTTATGATAGCAGAAATCGTAGGTAATATACCATGTGTATACATACGAGCAGAACACGTGAACAATACATATACGGGAATGTTAATTAAAAATTGTGATAGATGATTATTTCTTAGTGAAAAGATCGCTTTTCTTTTCAGGTGGGGTATTGTCGAATAGCTTGGCGATCGCGACAGATGCTGCGCATTTATTAACCGATTTCGCTTCGTTTATGATTTCCTTGTTATCGTTATGGATTGCAAGCAGACCGGCTACGAGAAAAATGCCCTTTGGCTGGTATCGAGCAGAAGTAGGTGTTTTTTTCGCCAAGCCGATTATTTTACCGTATCTCCTCGTTCCTTTGTTATTCAATGAAATACAGATACACACGTACGCTTACTTCATCGTAAATAAAGATGTTCATTATTGTTCACAGGTAATAGGAGCTTTAACGTCAGTTTTATTGATATGGGTAGTCACTGGAATTCTTTTTTATCTGGCAGTTGAAAGAATAGTTCACAAAAATTTCGAATTAAATGTTACCGTCATGTTGATCACCTCTGCCGTCGGCGTTGCGGTAAATCTAGTGTTAGTTATATATTATATTCAATCGAAACTATCGATCATTTAGACTGACAGATTGAATCGATCGCACACGGAATGTAATACAATTTCATGAATTCAATTTTGATGTTGCAGAATGGGTTTATCTCTACATCAACACGGTCACAGTCATGGACAGGGTTCGCATAAACCGAATCGAGATATAGAAAATGAGAGAATAGACGAGGAAAATTTTTCTCACGAGAAAAAGAATATTAATGTTCGTGCTGCTTTTATCCACGTTTTAGGAGATTTTATACAAAGTATAGGAGTTTTCGTTGCGGCACTAGTTATTTACTTCGAGGTATATACACACACACATACACACACACACACACACACAACGAATTCATTGAGTATTTTTCATAAAATCGAAATCGTAATTGTAGCCAAGCTGGAACATAGTTGATCCAATTTGTACTTTTCTCTTTTCACTTCTTGTGATATTAACCACAATTGCAATAATCAAAGACGTGATGAACGTTTTAATGGAGGGGATTCCAAAAGGATTTGAATATTCTCAAGTGGAAAATACGTTTATGCAAATCGAGGGTGTACTTAAGGTGCATAATCTTCGTATCTGGGCTCTTTCGCTAGATAAAACTGCGCTATCCGCACATCTCGCTATAAGTAAGTGCATACAAATCCTTTATAATAAATATATTATATGCTGTTTAATTGATTTTTGCTTTTGTTTTTTCTATTGCAGAACCAGGTGCAAGTCCTCACAATATACTGCGTACCGCTACTAGGAATATTCATGATAAGTACAAATTCTTCGAAATGACGCTTCAAATAGAGGAGTTCGATGTACGTATGGAAAATTGTAAACAATGCAAGTCGTTGTCGCAATAATTGCAGATCGTTGAGATTATACACTTATATAATGATACGTATGAGTGTATATGTATATACATATTTCCTACCTTTCTTTCGAGCAAGTCTGTCATGATCAAGTCTGATCCATCAGTGACACGAGATTTATAACGAGATTTGAAATGATTACTAAATAGCTCGATAGTTCGTGGAAAATAGGAGCATCGTGTTTTTCCATGGATACGGTTGTCCAAATAAAAATGACAAATTTCCTTTTTCCGTACGACTGAGAAAATATTTCAACCTCGTAATGATTATTACTTACAAGTCAATACAACGATTCATTTACCTGTCAGCGAAATAGTTATTCAGTATGTGATACAATTATTTATTTTAAACGTGACTTTTAGCGAGTAACCGAATTATAAAATTATATTATCATGAAATGATTTATTCTGTATTTATACTTATACTCCCTTCAAAGTAATGAAACAAAGATAAACCGTATAAATGCATGAAAATAAAATTAAAATGAAAGGGAAAAAGAACAACTAGAAAAAATTTGTGTGAATTTATTTATATCCCAGCACTGAATGAAATTTTCAAAGTGAAATATTTTGAAGCAAACACTGACATCGACATGACGGATTTTCATTATCGAAATTCGTTGTGCTATATCGACAACTTCAGACGAAATATTTTCGATCGTACATAACCTTTTCACTCTCAGTGGTACTATCATATCGCTTCGTGAATATCGGACACAACTGTCAAAACAACAGCTATGTCGAAAGAAAATTCATCGAATTTTGAAAAGGAAGAAAAAGATGCTTCGACCCTATCAGAGTTATTCGATAAAGCGTTTGATTTGTTCAATAACATAAATAAAACAGATGAACCTACGAACAGTTCGAAAATTCAGGTATTATATTACATTAATAATTACGTATAACTCTTTTAAGCACTTTCCTTTGCTTGTCTGTCCAATCGTTTAGTGAAATTATACTGTCATGTAAATGTCTTATACGAATTTCGCAAATTTTCAAATATAAATATATAATTTATGTCTTCTCTATTTTCTTTTTTATTTGTTTTAGTCTGACATCAAACGAACCATGAATATGTTAGAAGAAGCAACAAGATTAGTTTCTATAGTCGATATGTTTAGCCAAAATGAAAGTTTCGATGAGGTAGCAACAGAAAATATCAAATACTTTTTACTGCCAGCTTTCCTTGGTACACTCGCTACGAAAATATGTAATACAGACGATCGAATGCATATCGTTAATGTTGCCGAAATTTATTTTGTGGATTTTCTAAAACGCGTTAAAGCTTACGGTTTAACCGATATCGATGTGCCTGAGATTACGTCGGAACGCGAGAAAGAAAATGCATCCCAGAGAGTTCGAACAAATGCAGAATTAATTACTGAAATGGTAAAACTTCTACGATTCTGGAGATGATTACTATTACAAAATATCATTATATTAAAAAATTGTTTTTAATTTTTTATGTTTACAATCTTTTACTACGCGTGGTCTTTTACTATGTGTAGGTAAACCGAAGAAACACGAAACTGCAAAGGTATAAAGAGCAAAAAGAGTTAGAATCACGTTTGCAAATTTTGAAGAAAAGTTTGTCTGATCCAAACATAGATGATGAAGTTAAAAGAGAATATTTTGTAATACTTGTCAAGTTGTATGTAAACTTAACGATCGAAGAATTGAACTCTTTAGCTGCTGAAAAGCCAATTTTAGAACACATGAAAAATATGGGAAAATCTGACACCATGTCTACGCAAGTTCCGCAAAAGCATAAACCATCCCTGCCAAAATTACAACCAATTATTATCACTCGAGATGAAATGCAGAAAAAAGTGTTTGGAAGTGGTTATCCTAGTTTACCTGTTCTTACTGTTCAAGAATTTTATGAACAACGAGTGAAAGAAGGGGAGTAAGTAGAAAACCTCATTGATTTCGTTGATTTCTCAACGGTTTTCATAATATTTGTATTTCAGCTGGCCCAATCCTGCACAACAGCATCAGGCAAATTCAAAGTGCTTACAAGACTTGGCAGGCAGTCAGGAAAGGGATAACGAAGAAGATATTAAGAAAGAAGAAATGATTGAAGCAGATGATCCAGAGACCTTAAGACAATTACGTGCCATGGATGAATATAAAGATACGCACAGAAGAGGATGGGGCAATCGTGCTAATAGAAGTTGAATGTGAAAGAATTATTTGTCTTATATCAAAAATGCGCTGGTAAAAGAGTTTTATATGTATCTTATCAATCTTTTATTTGGCATTGTATTGATATTATTTATATGTTTCCCAAACTGATATAGTATACTGTTAAAGATAATATTACTGTTGTTTGCATGACAGTAATTCAAAAGAAATAAAAGAGTAACGCGTTTGTAAAAAATTTGTTAACTTGTTTTGCCTTTTTTCTTTCCATATCTATACTTTCTAGAAAGTTTTGTTCCTTCTTCATTTTTTGGCATGTAGTTCATATCAAAAAGGGAGATCGCATACATATCGCATACATATCGCATATATATTATACATTTATTTATAGTTATTAATTTACAGTTATAATATGATAATGTGATGAAATAGCATTTTTCAAATAATTATAATTTGAAAGCTAATCTTACTTGTGCGCATCGTTGATAATTGTCGTTAATGAGAATAAGGTTTGTATCATAAGAAAACTAGATGGCGTGAACGTTTAAATGCATAAGGCGCAGGTGTCAACTCGAAAACAGTAATACTGTGAATCAGTGTACTAGGTAGGAGTTTATGCGTCAGCAACAGGTTGTCAAGTTACGAGAACACGTTCTCACGTTTTCTATTTTCAACGTAAGTTGAATATGAAAAAGCGGAAGTTATGCAAAGACGCGTAAATTTGTTCGTTAAAGTTTTGAGATAGATTCGTTATGTTGTATTCAGAACGACAAATCGACGACGATCTCGTTAATGATGGGTGCGATTCAAAGCCATACACAGAATATATTAGTTCTTAGAAATAGTAAATAATCTGAAAATATTATTCACGCGTAAATTACTCATCTAATTCTAGAAAAAGTCTTATCACGCTGAAACATGAGAAAAGCTATTTCTTCCTTGATATGTGTTTTTTTTCGAGGATTCGTACAACGTCAACCACAACCAATTTAGAATTTATTTTGGGAATAAGATGATCGTGCAAACAATGATACCGCATTTATGGATCAAGGCTGCTCACAAATGTACGTATTTCATTGATAAATCTTTTATTGCGGCTATTTTCATGCAAAATTCTGCATCATAAAAAGGTTAGAAGATGCTTACAATTAGTTTTTTAAACGATCTTTGCTATTGATTTATATCACACGCGCGTGTGTGTGCGCGCACGAGCGCGCGCGTGTGCGTATGTGTGTATTTGCGTTTCTTTTTCCTTGGAATATTACAGTAGACATACATATTTTGTTTAACAAAATTTATTCGTATTATTTGTACATTTCACGTCTCGTGCCATTTTCCATCAACACTGTTTGCTTGAACGTGTCAGCGATATATCCTCGAAGCAGTGTGTATGTTAATTTGATTTGCGTTCCACTTTGTAAAGCAGATTATGAACTTCTTGAAAAGATCGATCGTTATTAATCTGTACTGTCGTAAACCAAATTATAAGGCTTTTTCTGTGATCAACGTTAACATTCTTAGGCGCATTTTGTTAGATTGAGATGCTTTAACGATTTCGTTTTTAAACTTGTTGTTGATTGTAATTTGACTAATTTTATACATTTCACGTTTATATGAACTTTTTTATGTTTTGCAGATATTCGGGAGAAGACTTTTTGAATTACAGATTAATAGAGAATAAATATTGTCTGAGTATACAGCAAGTATAATAAGATTGAGAACAATGGAGAAGGCACAGACAACTACGTACATAGAAGGTAATAATCACCTTCTAGATTATTGGGAAGAATATCAAAAAATGATGGAAGAAACTAAGCTGTTGGATGATTACCTCGAAGAAGAATGCCCACGCAATTATGATGGTATGTATTTTTTCTGGTTATTCTACATTGTAACTGATAATAAGAATTACTATAACGAGGAATGTGAATTGACTTTAAAAGATGGCGAAGAGGAAGCAGAATGGTTACGTACAGCTGGTCTAGGCCAATTGACAGAAGCATGGAAAGCTGGAAAAGAAGTACAACCGGATGAATTGGGTGCAGCATTACGTCCCTTGTCAAGAGCTCAAGCTGAAGCAGTGAAACGACGCGTTAAATCGTTGAATCATACGGTGAAACAGCGTTTCAATCAACGTCAACGTGTTCGTAAACCAGATATCAGAGATGTTTTTAAGGATGTAGAGGTATGTATGGTAGGTAGACGATATAATTGTAAGGAGAAGAGGAAAAGATGGGTTATTATTGTTAACGCATTGTTAGGCTTCTAGTACTGGAACAAGGTCGCGGAGCGCCACACCTGATTCCTTAGATTCCGTAACAGGCGTGACATCAGAGAACGCTTCGCCCCCGTCACTGGCAACAGTCACCGTTGTCGATGCGCACCATACAAAGTAAGATTTCTTCGTTATATGTTTTCGTGACGGATACTGGTAGATATATTAATGATATATTGTATATTACGTAGCGTTACCGTTCCAAATTTTGTATCGGTGTTTCAACAATCAAACGAATGTAAGGAAACAGTACGTAGAACACCTAGTGCGCCATTGACGCGAATGGAGATGGTAGCAGGTCCACCGGCAACTCCGTTACCCGTTCAAGAAATTTTCAGGCGTGCTGGAAATTGGTTACGAGGAGACGTTGCTAACGATTCAGGTATTGGTCATTGGTGATATATTTTACAACTAGTTTTAAAGTAATTATAGTTGTAATAAGCGTGTAACATAATAATTAGAAAGAAACACGCGATCAGATTATAGAAAGAATTTCGTTTACAGAAGGAATTCAGCTAACAGGTTACCATAGATTAGGAACGATACACGTTTCGAAACCTAGTATACAGAGACGAAGCGGAAGCGATCCTAGCGAAGTAGCGAATGCAAGGAGTTTAGGCGAAGCCATCGAAAAGTTGAACACTTGCAAAGATTCAACGTTGAGGTGCGTTGGAGATTTTGAAGTACTTTTGCGAAATTATACGCGTATACCGTATCGTCTGGACGAAGAAGTTTGATTCGAAAACGCTGGAAATTGTAGGAGAAATTCGGGCGGTCATGCAACGGTAACCCGAAGTCATAGCAGCCTGTACGGATTAACAAGACCAGTGGACGATCCGTTGATAACGCATCCGTTAAATCGAACATCTTCTCACGGTCATTTAAGTTTCGAAGAAATGTGCAGATCAAACGAAGTAAGGACAGAAATACGGAAATCGGAAATTGTGCCTGCAGCCGACGATATACAAAGTCGACTGGGAGTAGAAACGCTTACACAGCGAGATTTGACCAGGTTACAACCATTATTGTGGCTTGAACTTAGCGCGGTGTTCGACAAGTATAACGTTCCATTGAAAAAACGGAAGCCGAATAAGCGTCGAGTAAAAGGTTGGCACAGACGTTGGTTTCTGGCCATTTTTCTGGCGTAGAAACGTAGAATAGATGGGAAACTAAATTAAGAAGTAAATGAAAAATTTGATAAAGATTTAATACTATTTTTGTTCTTAGCTGGAAACTTGTTCGGGGTCTCGTTATCGACTCTTTTACTTCGGGACAGTCAATTGTCATCGGAAGAAAGCAATATCCCACTAGTATTCCAAAAGCTTCTTAACGAATTGACGAGGCGAGGCATAAAAGAAGAGGGCATTCTTCGCGTGGGAGGACACAAGCAAAAAGTACAATTTTCAACAAATCTAAATTATGAACGGAGATGGACGCGTTACATATGTTTGGAATGAATGAATATCGTTGTTTGGTTCAGGTTGAATCGATATGCGTGGAGTTGGAAACGGATTTCTATTGCAAGCCGAAAGAAATGGATAAATTGTTTAAACGCATGTCGTGTCACGATTTGTCGGCAGTTTTGAAAAAGTTGTTGCGCGACCTGCCGCAGCCGTTACTTACCGTAGAGCTTATCGATGCTTTCTATCAAAGTCACGGTAAGTGGAAAATACATGGAAACGTTCCGTTGGTTTGGTGTGTGATCCGATGCACCGGATTTCGGAATACGCGAACACATTTTCACGTGAGTCTTTTCTTTTTTCTACGATGATATATTTTTATTAAACAGAAGTTTCTTTTTCTTTTTATTCTCGCACGTACAGGAGTGAAGGATCATCAGGAGTTGTCGTACGCATTGAATTTGCTGGTGCTATTGCTACCTATAGAGCATCGTTGTACTTTGAGAGCGGTGATTAAGTTTTTAAGGTCGATCGTGGAAAACGAAGCATCGAATAAAATGTCGATCCATAACGTAGCGATGATAGTGGCACCGTCTTTGTTTCCACCGCGATACATTTATCCTCGTGATCGTACCGATTTGAGTGCTCAGGTTAATATGGCTGCCATATGCTGTCAAGCGACGGAAGCTCTTCTCGTTAACGCGAATAAATTGTGGTACGTACCAAACGAGCTTTTAAATCAGTTGCACAGACATTCGGAAGAAGAAAGATATCGAAAGTATAAAAAGAAATTTTATTGAGGTCGATGGTGCTCGTGATAGAGAGAAGCGTAGAGATTTACAGGTGCGCATGCGCAAACGCGTTCTCGTTTCGATTAGAAGCATTCCTTCTATTCCGTTCGCAAGGTTTCGAAAAGAGAGGTAAAAAAGAGAAGGAAAGGTCGTGGATGGTTTGCCTTATAAGCAAAGTTGATGAACGAACGAACGAACGAACGAACGAACAAACGGACGAACGGTTTTGGGAAAATTGATAAATCATGAATGAATGAAAGGGAGAGCGTAGCTGGATCACGCGGATCCCGCAATAAATAACGTACGAATTCGCGAGTATCGCGGTAATAATAATTAACCACGAAATTAAAAGGTTAACGAGGCGCGGTAATTGGATGCAAGGGGACAAATGCTTGGCATATGCGATTAGTTTTATCGATTTTACTGGTCTGAAGGTGCAATAGACAGAAGGTTCTATAGTACGTATGTTTGATGTTTGGGCGTTGATGAGATTAATAGAATAACGCGTGATAGGGAATGGCGGTTTGGAAATGGGAAGAATCTTTATTTCCGACTAATCAGCTGTTCACTGCGTTTTCTCGAAACATGTAACTCGTGCGTATTACAGAAGTCGTTGCCACGTCTCGACGATTTTTCGTATTCATCGTTCGCCGATGCCACGTATAGATATAAATACGCGAATGGCGAAGCGCGAGTCGAGTACGAAGACACGAATAATTATAAAATTCGCAGATCGACGCGTAACATGGCGACTCGTTTCTTCGAATATACGTTGTAACGCGCGAGCAATCTAATTTATTACTAACAATTGCGTGCGTGCGTGCGTGCGTGCGTGCGTGCGTGCGTGCGTGCGTGCGTGTACGCGTGTGCGAAATCTTCGCAGTTTAGCGTATAGCGTAGTTTTATATTTTTAGTTAATTTTTTGAAACACATTTTTTGTTCTTTTTTAATCTATCAATACGTATATCGATAGAATTTACCGTACTCGTGTAACTTTGCTCGAATTTAACGAACACAACGAAAGGGAAGCACGCAAAGAATCATCGCTCGGACTTTTTCGTCGAAAGTCGATCGACGATGCATTTCTTACGCGACCTATGCGCCATACTAGTTTAAGCGATTGTACATAGAACGTGACGTAAGATGGTTACATTCGTGTGAATAAAGTGCCAAAGAAAATAATCAAGTCGATGGTCGATCTTTTGATTTAGCGTTTGTTCCTTGCTCCATTCCTTTCTCCTACGATATATGGCATTAGCAAAATGCACGTAAAAAGAAGAAATGTGGAAGAAAGGACAAAGTTATTTGCTCGATGGTTACCTACGACGACTGGAACGACAGGACAGCAACGAAAGTGGTCGAGATTTTCGTTTGAGATTTTCGCGACGATACGTATCGGGGATGATAGGCGAAGTAACAGGAAGTAAATAGGAAGTAGAGAGGAGAGTAGGCTACATTACCGTGACTAGATTTCCTTTCGAGGAAGAGGGCGATAGATAAATAGGAGAGAAAGAGTTAGAGGGGGAGGCGGAATCAATACACCGACGCGATTACTCTTTCGAGATCGACGTGTTGGATAATAGGGGCGAAAAGATGGTTGGCTAGTTGCCGGGGACAGGAAGCGGTGAGAATAGGAAGAAGGAGCATAAGTTTGGCCACCCTGGTGGACGATTCGGTTCTACCAGCAAGATGCCGAACCAGAGTTTCCACCGCGGTGTTGGTTGCACGCGACGTCAAACGAATGCCGTTGGTCGTTTCGGCGATCTCTGGATTTGGGGGAAAAGAAAGAAAAAAGTGTAGAATAAAAGGGAGGAAAATGGTCGGAGAAGACTCCGAAAGAGTGGTCGGTTGGCGATGATCGCTCGGTGATGCGCGCATCGTTAGCGTATCGCGCGTAAATATTTGAATTTATTACCGGGTCGACAGAGGACCAAGGTTTCCAGAATGGAGAATTCGATTGGATCGGGACGCAAATTGGAGATGGTGGTTCTTGCCGCGGATACAGCATCGTGCTCCGCGTGGTCAGCCGAGGCGTTGGTTTTCCGAAAATTTGTCAGATCGATCGGCCAGATGGCGGCTCGCAGAACGAATGCCGCAGCCCAGCCTCTTCGAAGGATTCTATTCTGCTCGTGCAAATGGAGCATCGAGAATTCGCGATGCTGTCGAGCGGCTCGCACAGTCGAGAAGAATATCCGAGCCGCGATTTCGTATCGTATCGTGTCTCCTGCAAGCAATTCCGCTTCGTTAGCGCGGCTCGAAACGCGCGCGAAAGAACGAGTGGAGAGAATTAGGAAGAAAAGATGGATCGCGATTCCGTTACCAGAGATAAGGGTAGTCGGTGGCGTAGCAGTAGCGGTATCGGTATCCGTAACAGTAGCAATAGTAGGAGGGCAGATGATTGGTCTGGTCGACGAGGAAGAGAATCCTATATCGTGGTTTGCTTTGCTCGCGCGATGGCTCGTCGTCGACGAATCGTCCGTCCGCATGGTGGATAAAGTCGGTGCTGCGATCCATCCGGGCTTGGAAGAGGTAAGAGATTCCGGCAGTGACGATGGCAATGGTTGCAGCGAGGATTGCAGCGAGGATTGCAGCGAGGGTTGCGTGGACGGCGCGCAAGGATAATCGCGAGCGACGGTCGCGATCTTGCTTCGAACGCGCGGCCCTCTTTCTTCTTGAACGGCTAGGCAGAAAAGAAAGCAACTAACGACGTTCTCCGCATCGATCGAGTTGGGATCGGGTCGGGCCGGGCGAGGAAGAACGATCGAATCGACGCCGCCGACGATGGAAGGGAACTCGGTATTGTTTGCATCTCGTTACCTACACGATTACGCGTTCCGAGTTGACTCGGTTTGCTTACCTGCGGTGTTCATTCCAACGGTAAAGCACTTGTTCAGGCGGCAATACGGACACCAATTGCGCCTGGCTTTGTCGACGGAACAGGCTCCGGTGCCGGCTGAAAAATTAGCGAAATCGCGAGATCTCGGTGAATCGGCTGAACTCGCGTTGTCGCGTTACTAGGGAGAAAGAATTTCGCGCACCTATGCAAGTGAAAAGGGCGCCGCGACGCACGGACCTCTTGAAGAAGCACGAACAACCGTCGCAGCAGTAAATCCCATAGTGCTTGCCGTAGGATCGGTCGCCGCAAACTTTGCACGCAACCGGTGTCGGCAGCGTTCTTCCTGTCTCGACAGAGATTCCGGTTAACCGGATCTTCGTTGTATCGCTAAGATTCGCTAAGATTCGCTAAGATTCGCCTTCGGAAAAACTTACCCATTCTTCTATCTCGTGGACGAGAGGCAACGTGAAAGAAAGTATTGGGGCAAGCGGTTACGCGTTGGGAAGCGACGACGCGATCGATCTGCCGGGTTCGTCGACGAAGACGGCGAGGATCGGACTGGTTGGAGGCGAACGCGAGAGATCGAGCAGCGATGTCCACCGGCGGCGAGTGTGTACGCGCGTGTGTGCTGCAAGCTCTAAGGGCGCGAGGCCACCGTGCCGGGTGGTCAGACCGCGAGGAAAAGACAATATTTACCGAGCATCGTTGTGAAATCGCTGTGGACGACAGCTCGTGGAGAACTCGCGAGGGTAGTCGAGTGGTTGGAGGGAAGCGTTTTGCGACCCTGCTGGATGACGCGCGTTCCTCTTTCCACAGAAACGACAACACGGGATCGAAAGCTGTTCTCTTTATTGCGCGTCGTAAGTAAACTAATCATACAGGAACTGTACAAAAAAAGCTGACACTTGTTCGGAAACGAGTCCCCGTCTGTTGGTTCTCCTCGGATTTGCCGCGTTCCTCGCGTTTCTCGCGTTTCACCGCGAGTCTTTCGTCGGATTCTCGACAAAAGGGCCTCCTTTCCCTCCTTTCGTGCCATCGTCTTAACAAGCTAGTCCGCCGTGGAAATATAATAGTCTACCGTGGATCGGATTTCTCCGAGTTTTATTTACAACCGAATACGCAACTTTCGTTCGCCGAACGTAATGGTAGATTGCGCGCGAATTACGAAGAAACGAGCGCGAATACGACACAGCGAGAGTAAGAGACAACCAGAGTACGACAGCGAATGCGACAGCGAATGGCGACAGCGAATGGCGACAGCGAGAACGACAGCGAGAACGACAGCGAGAACGACAGCGAGAACGATAGCGAAACGCGCGTTCCCGGAACACCTTTGTCCCGGAAACGCGATTCGATGGAAATCGATGGAAATATTTCGACCGGTACCAGCGCGCGGTTACCACGATGACCCGCGTCTCTTTCCTCGGCGACCACGGAAACGAAAGCGTTTACGCGTTTCATATTTTTCGCGCCTCGTTCCCTCCCTGATCCGTAGTCGTACCATTGGACGCGACGCGACGACGACGACGACGACGACGACGACGACGTACAGGAAGGAGAACGAGAACGGGGTAAAACGGAAAAGTTTCTGTTTCGCGAGCAGATTCCGTGACGCGAAACCGCGACGTGGATATCGTCGTCGATTCCTCGACGTTGAAACGAAATTACGTGGAGGCGAGTAACTTGGCAGCCGCGGTAACGTGATGTTGATGATGATACGGCGCTTCTTGGCTTCCGTAATACGTTTGCTGCTGATGCTCGCTGGTCGCTACCCCGAGCTGATGGGGATGCTGGTAGTACGAGGAATAGGGTTGACCCACGATACCGTCGCAACTTCGCGGTTCCGTTTTCACGGTAGCCACGCTTCCGGTGGCCAAAAGGGACGTGTGGCCAAGATAGACGGGTCTCTCGGACGAACTCGACGCGCCACCACCGGTGCTCGATTTCGACGCTTCGATTTGATGCTGTTGCTGCTGCTGTTGTTGCTGTTGTTGCTGCTGCTGCTGCTGTTGTTGCTGCTGCTGCTGTTGTTGCTGCTGCTGTTGGCTACCCTTTAACTCTGTGGACCACACGAAGGGATCCGTATCGATTCCGGGGTCAAAACGCGTCGGGGAAAATTGAAAGGCTGGACTTGGAGAACGGAGAACGGTAAAACGGGGATCGTTTTGCGGCTTACCCGTGGACGGAGAGGAAGCGGCCGAGACGGCGGTGGTCTCGTGGTCCACGGTGGAGGATCTGGCGTTCGGCTCCGGAGTCTTCTTCGGTTTTCGTTTTCGCGTTTGAATGCCGTCTTTCCGCATGGCCAGAGGTCGATTAACGCCGTGTAGCTTGAAGTAGAGACCGCAAGCGTTGCAAACCGGCTCGCCCTCG